TTTTTTTTAAGCCAGCATTATCAATAGTCTATACAGTGTTTAATATGCTCTTTTCTACAATCTAGCATTAATTACTAATTGGTAGAATTTTTTATTTTTTGGTTCATTCTACTTATGCAGTTTGCTTTGAACATTGGGCTGCAATTCCACACACCAGAGGAGTACTTTTTGGGCTGGAAGGTTGCCCCCTTTTGCCTTCCAGCATTTGACCCTGTAGGTATTGTAACCAAATTGTTTGAATATTTCTGACTGCATGTTCTCAATAGTACTTTTTCTCTACTATTGGTAGAGAGAATGTACCTCCACTGGTAGGCTTTATGACCCACCTTCAGCCTCCCTTACATCCAGCAGACCAGAGGTCATTGTTGCTGTGGGTTTCCCTGCTTGTAAGTAGACCGTACTTTAATTGTATTTGTCCATCAAGTGTAGCCAATAAGATTTGTTATTCTTTTTTTTTAGCAGGTAAATCTACTTTCTTTCAAACCCACATGATTCCAAAGGGTTACTTACAAGTCAGTAGGGTGAGTAAATAGTCCAGTTTCACCTTTTATTACAAGGTTTGTCACTATGCCTGTACTACATACACATAAAGAGTATTTTCACCTGTGTACTCACTAAGACCCAAACATCTTTAGTTTTGAACCAAAAGTCTTACCCTGACCCAAAACAAATAATAAGGATCCATAACGTATTTCTCATTCCTTGAGGAAATTTAGTTTCAAATCCAGTGTTTCTCAACCACTGGTCAGAAAATTTTAAGCCTAAAGTCTATAAGGCTACGATTATAATGACAGCACAAAATCTGTCTGTGTGTGTTGAACCATTTACCAAAGACCAAAACGATGATGGCCGTGACATTTGTACTCTTAATCAAGGTTCCTACATCTATTGATTAGCTTAACTGCTAATTGATGGAATCCCAGAAAGTTACTTGATGTTGTTTTAGTATTACGTTGTTGTTTTTGCTTAAAAGAAGATAAATTACTAAACGGTTGAACTGAGGATTTGTTTATACATTGTAGAAGAACTTTCTTCATACTGGGAAAATGTTTTTAAAAATGTTTTTATTCTATGACAGGATGAACTTGGTTCGTGGCAGAACTGTGTGTCAAAATGCAGGGAAGCTCTGAGGAAAGGCCAGAGTGTAGTTATCGACAACACTAATCCTGACCCAGAGTCTCGCAAACGGTAAAGCAGCAACATCAATATGTATCACTGGGTGATGTAGGATTTTCTATGTGAACAATAAACCATGTTCATATACATTTGCCAGATATGTGGACGTGGCCAATGCTGAAGGAGTGCCTTGTCGTTGCTTTAACTTTTCTCTCTCTCTGGATCAAGCCAAACATAACAACAGAGTAGGTTTAATATGTCTCACCTAGAGGACATTTCCTTCTTTCTGTTGTTGTTTTTATAAAAATAACAATATTGTTTACAGTTTCGTGAAATGGTGCCATCAGATGTTAAGCATGCCAAGGTCAATGACATGGTTTTCCACAGCTACAAGTAAGTTTTTCTACTGTTGATACTGGAGCCTTGACTCCTGGCACCCATAATCACTTCATATAGATCAGCGTTTTCAATAGGTGAGGCACGCTTCCTCTGGGGGGCGCCAAAGAGCCACAGGGGAGGCCTGTATAAAGTTGGATGCAATAAGTGAATATTATTTTTTGTTGCAAATAATCGTTAAGGAATGCCCTTTTTAAAAAGTTGTGAAAATATCATTGCCTCATCATTGTCAGGAGCACACAGACGATGTATTTACTGCAGAGGCGTGTATGGGTTAGGGCAGGTGGACAAGAGGGGGAGGTTCTCACCCAATTTGAAAACCCCTGATATAAACTGACTGGCCTAAGTCTGAGTGGTCTTGTATATGGATAGACCTGTTAAAACTAACCTTAACTACAACACAGTCACGCCTAGAAATGTTTTTGAGAAGAGGAATTGGATGAGGCTCACCCAACAAACAGGTCGTAGGAGACTGTTTCATCAGGGTAAGGATTGGCTGTCGCAAAACATCTGTCCAGCAGCACGTTGAACCTTGAGCACAGAAATAGTTTTAAGTGTAATGGTCCCCAAATGAAGACAGAACGAGCTGGGTGCAGATTAAACCCACCTCTCTGTCAGGGCAGTGGCCTTAACTGAGACATAAATCTTGGTCTTCAGTGAGAGTCCTGATGTTGGGATGAAGAGTGGCTGCGTATACGCGTCATCCTTTTTTTGGTTGACGTACACGATGTGTCCATGAGAAGAGGAAAAAAGATGTTGAGGTTCTCTACAACAAAATTCTGTTGTTTCTGAACATGAGTTTAAATTGAAGCATGCAGGAGACGGACAGAAAGAGATTTGATATTTAAAGATAAAGAGGACGTTTTTTACCATTTGTCATAAAACATTTTGGCTTACCCTCAAACATCGTATTGACTTAAGCTGCGACACACTCACACTTAAGCTCAAAACTTAGCTTAGACTTAGCTCAAAACTACACCACATCTTAGAGAGACACAACAGTTGTTGATCCACTGCTGCTTCCATCACTCAGTCCATGTGTGTTACTTTGTGTCTTAACTGTTTAAGTCCTTAGTTCAGAAATTCTTCAGCAACACAAACTGACCACAGGAGGCAACAGTGCTGTGTCACTGTTAGACTAAATCATTGGTTTTCTCAATGGACTTTGGTGTGGGAGAGACAGAGCAGGTTATAAAAACTTGATGATGAATTTAGTAAGAGATCAGTCCTTACATTGAACAGCTCCATTGTCAGTGTGCTGATGAAGCTACCGTTGTTGTCTTGTATGGCGAGATCCACTCCAGATCTGAATGAAACAGATCAACAAACTTTAGAAACATGTTTGAATCACATTAGGCCCCGTCAGTGTACACTGGGTGTGCATCAGGTTGATGACAGCCATGACGGTGTGTACGAGCCCGTTCGTCATCATCAAAGAAACCTGTCATCTCTCTTTATTAACACAGAACCAAAAGCCTCAACTCTCAAGTGGGACAGAAAACAAACAATAGTTCCAAAGAAAGAAGCTGTTTCCGGGCTTCGTAGAGAACAAACTCAGGATACGTGTCTGGATTTCAAGACCCACAGCAGGTCAGACAGCAGGTCCTACAGAAGACCTACAGAACGTCCTAATTTAAACTGTCTTTCATCTCTATTTGAAAAAAGAAACGCTGCATTTAAAACATTTGCCGGTGAAGTGGATGCGTGGCTTCAGACTGAAGAGCATTTACAGACTTTCAGAAAGTGACAGTGGTTTTATGACATTTAATGATATTTAAAGGCAAACCCTTTGTAAAACATAGCAGCCTCTCCACAGCAGACACGATTCCTGTGTGACAAACAAACGCAGCATATCAGCGACGCAGCTGTCACGCACTGCACACGCATCCAGTGTGGAGATCCGGCCTGACGCATTTCACTTTGCTGTGAAGATACAAACCCCACTTTCTGTAAAGTTGGCCAAATCTATGGTTTGGTTATTGATTTACTTTAACAGGCACCATGACAACCAGCCAAAGCCAGGCTAAAAAGTTCAACCCAGTAACATCCTGAACTAGCAGCTGGACTGCCAATAGGTCAGCAGGTCTAAAACGTTAGGCAACTGAAAGGTGTGTGATACCAAACAACAGGTTTGAGTTTTCATTGACTTCAGAAAACCTCTATATATGTGGGGTTTGTAGTTGCAGTAAAGATGATGTAACAAAGCTACATACTCACACATTTAAACGTTGGTCCTTCAACAAGTACTGCATTGGGTAAAAACAGGAAAACAAGTACTGAAGCCCTGAGCGGTACGTGATGGTTCCAATGCTCGAATCGATGGAACCAATTTGTCCTGAAACATTGATAAACTGCACATTGGATAAATCTGAGAAGTCTCCACTTCCAACATCGTTGCTGATCTGTGAAGAGAGAACAGTTGTAGTTAGTGTTTATTGAGGTGTGACTGTGGCGTGTTTCAAAGTACAGCATACAGCTTCTAGTTTAAGGAGAGCAGACAGGGAGATGATGGTCAAACAATGACTAAGTTCATTTCTTCACTGAAATGAATGAGAAACCTGTATGAGTTACCAACTCATAGAGTACCTTCTATAGATAGACAGACTGGTGGATGGAAAGACAGACGGAGGAATGACATACACATCAATGGATGGATGGGTTTACAAATGGTTGAATGGATGGGTGGATTGGGTGGATACCTCGTAGCTGCTTCCACAGAAGGAGTTGTCTGGATTAATGGGGATCTCAAATTTCAACACTGGAGGGTCAACCGTGAAGTCTGGTGTTCCGAAACACTCAGTGTTTTCAAACTGCTGGTTCAGGACCATGTCCTGGTGGGTGAATGCGGAATGATAGATGGGACACATTATGATGCTCAGCTCCATTTTCTCTGTTCCACATACTACGGTTATGTCACTGTCCACTAAAAAAATGGAAAAGAAGATTTACTTTATGTTGAAGAGAAAAAAACAAGAGCAACAAACTAAAATGGTAAAATGCTCACGTGGAGGTCTGTTTGTGATGGAGGTGTCACAGACGTCAGTTTCCTGGGCCTGGACCAGGTCCAGCAGGACCAGCAGAAGCAACAGCTTCATGGTTCTGAGGTCGGACAATAAATAAAAATGGTGAAGACTGAGTTGGTTGTCTGCTAATAAACACTGAGAAATGTTGCATTTGCTACAGACCAGTGAAGAGACATTAACACTACAGCAAGTCAGAGGAATTGAGTCCAGGAGAAACGTTACAAGTAGGAATCAAAAAGTACAATATGAAAAGTTCAATCAAAAACCACAGATATAAAATAAGGCAGTCGATAAAAACTGTGCTTGAAACATTTTTGGATTTTTGAGCTTATTTAAAGAGAATTCATAAAAAGTGATAATTAATCACTCACCGTAAACTTGTCATGCTGTGCCGTGGATACTGCTGTTAGTTGCTGTTGTTGTTGAACCTCTGTGGACACATGTTTTTATACAATCTGGACACTTCTGGACACGCCCACCAACCCAGTGTTACACTGTAATGTCACAGGAAAGGTGAGCTGACTTTTTCTCTGTCATTGGTTTTTATTTGTGCAATAATATTTTCAGTGTATGTGATTGTGAAAGAGTTTGTGTTTGTCGTCATGTTGATGAACCTGAGATTCTTTTTCTTTCACTGAAATATAAAATATGATCTGACGTAAAACAAAACCAGACCTTTGCCTTTCCACGCTCACTCCTGAATAAAAAAGTCCCATGGGAGAAAAGAGAAGGTTAGCTTTATTATCATTATTATTATTATTATTATTATTATTATTATTATTATTATTATTATTATTATTATTATTATTATTATTATTATTATTATTATTATTATTATTATTATTATTATTATTATTATTTATTTTATTCTAATAATAATAATAATAACCCAAACCATTAAAAAAATATTGTTTAAAAATATTTAATAAATAAACAATGTGCCAGAGGAATAAAATCAGCCACTTTGTGCTAACACAAAGTTAGCCCAGGTCAAGTCAACATTTAGCCCTAACATTAAAAAAATAAAATAAAATAAAAACCTAATAAAATGTTTGTGAAACAACCTGAGCTTCCAAAAGCTTCCCCACTCAAAGTTCCCACACATTTGTGGGGAAATCAGACCTTGAGTGTTTTATCATGAATTTATCTTGAACATCTTAATGTTTGTAAATATCCCGGAAAAATTCAAATTTTCCAGGCAGACTGGACTAAAGGGACTCAGACCTGAAGCATGGTCCACAATGGTTTGTGAGGCAAATTCCCCTTGTAAAGTAGGCAATAAAGTTAAACAATGGAGGGGAATAAAGCAACAAATGCAGCTGTAGTTCAGGACAAAGCCTGTTGGCACATAAACCCTCGACCATTCAGGTCAGGATTCTTCAGACCTCTGAGAAAGAACAGGATCAGCCATTTGATCACCCACTGTTTGTCTTCCAGATCTTTTCAGCTGATAAACGGAGTCTCATTCTTGTACACAGTTTTGTCCAGGATCATTTTTTTGTTTTGGCCTGAGGCTGGAATACTGTAAATAGAAATGCTCAGTACAGTCTGAAAAGACACACCTAGCGACAGAAATCCCAAATCTTTTGTGGCTCCTGCTGTCCCTGAAGAACGGTACCACAATGCAACATAGAGGGCGCAGCCTGTCAAATGTACCTGTCCTGTTACCTTGGACAGATCCAATGTCAAATGCCAGTTATTAATCCTTCCTTTGTGGTGAAAGTGAGTATTTGTCTGTGAGCTGTGCCCTCAGTCTTACAGCGGGAGCCAGTAGCAGTGACACTTCCTGGCCCCCAGGGAGACCTGTGTTCATCCCAGGGCACACAGTCTCACCCATTCAGGTCAGGAAGCCACATGACAATCAGACGATGTTTTTTTGAAAACTTTTAGCTGCAGGTCTCTCGAAATGTTCTAAAACTGACAAGAACATCAGTAGATGATCTGCACAAACCAAACTAAAGGTTAGCCCAGTGGTTCTTAATTAGTTGTCATGCCCCCCTTGGTGACAGAAATGTTTTCACACACCCTCCCTCCACCCGTCCAACCCACACCCCGTGAATTGAAATACTATTGAGAACTTGATGTATATTTTTATCTGTACAAACCACGGTATGAGTTACTGCCACCTATTGACTGGAGGCTTGTTATCGTTACAGCATTACAGCAGTGGTTCACTTATGTCCAGTGTGCCATATTCCATTAGAAGCCCCTCACGATCCCCCCACCCCCTGCCCCGGCACCTCACCGCGCCCCACCCCACTCTGTCTCAAAATGTCCAAAAGGCTAGCTAAATGTTAGCAACAGATTAAAACTGTCAAAGTGATGTCAAAGGTTTTTCCTACGTTTATTGTCTAGTTTTAGTCAAATCATTTTTAAAACTATTGAAGCACCTTTACTATACTGTACTATACATTAATTTTTATTTTTTATTACAACATTTAAGACTGTCCTTTTTTAAGTAGAAGACATTTTAATGTTAAACACTGTATTTTATTAAATTAGACTTTTTTTATTGTTTTTTTACAACGATAAACACTGTACTTTACCAGTCTTTTTTTTCCATGACATCAATAAACATTGTACTCTAATAAATATGAGACCAGTCTGTACGTTTTCATTACTTTAAACGCTGTACGTCATTATATGCGAGAGCCGTCTTTGTTTTTTATTCATGCAGTTTAAAACCATTCAAAGTTAAATGTGATCCCTGTGTTTTCTTCCTGTTTTTCTGTACAGGCTGAAACGATCCAGCAAGTGCTGGTTTGTTGTGTTTTGTTGGACTTGACAATGGCCTGGTTTTCTTCGTACCCTGACTGTAATGAGACACAAAAACATGAGCTCCGTCTTAACTGTTGTGACAGAATCATGAGGAGGATCCAGCTTTGGTTTTGATTTTCTTATATAACAATGGTAAAACCGGGACACTGAACATCGTAAATCAATCTCACCATTTATTTTTGTTATAAAATGCACCATCCCATAATGCATCCTGATTCAATTGCTCTACCTCATTCAGTTTTAAGAATGATTCATTTACACATTTACAGGCTTAACTGACCCACAGGTGTGGTTCAATCTGACACACCCATTTCTGTTTGTTCTTTTCTGTGAGGAACTGTTGTAACTTTTGTGACCTACACAATTAATATTATAGTTAAATGTTTTTCAATAATAATAAAAACTGTTAGCTGTTTTAAAAGCAATTTTAAAATGTTTTAAAAAATAATGGAAAATGTCTTACTTTGGTTAACAGGTGAGGCTCTTTTGCTGCTTTTAATTTGTAACATTTTTTTTTACTTGAACCCATTTTAACAAGGGGAGTGTCATTTAAAAAGTTATATAAACGTGACATCAGGAGCAAGGATGTGATTACCAAATTTCATTTGTTTGGGTTTTTTGTAGAAAAAATCAGCAGCTTGTATTATGTTGCTATGGTGCATGCTTCATGTTAGGACTGAGCTTATCGCTGTGATATCGGTATCAGAGTCTGAGAAAAGATTAACCTGAAGAAATGACATACAGCCGACGGCGTCTTTCACCACAAGCTTCTCAGAAAACTCAAACTGCTCCCGCTTATCACCCGTCTCTGCTGCAAATCATATCTTCCTTACACTCACTTCCAAACGTAGACATTGTGGTATCGAACAAAAGCCATCAAAGACCAAACCTTTGATGTCCATGATCAACCTTAGGTAAGTGAAACAAACAGAACTGCTCTTCAACAACCAAGCAGGAATTATTCATCCTCTCAACCAACTAACCAACCAAGGAGGAAACGTGGGAAAACCTTAATCAGAAAAAAAAGCAGAGATTAAGAATTAAAGTTGAAAAGAAACGTGATTTCAACAATTCCATAGACTCAACCCCTCAGGTAAACTAGTCACTGTTTATTTTGAACATCATACAAATTGGTTCCACTAGAGTTTATTACTTATAGAAGTACTTTCTGCCACCGTTGCCTCCTCAGGTTCAAAGACATGTCGAAGGAAACAGCTGTGGGTATCGACCTAGGAACCACCTACTCCTGTGTGGCCGTGTTCCAGCATGGGAAAGTGGAAATCATCGCCAACGACCAAGGAAACCGGACCACACCCAGTTATGTGGCCTTCACTGAGACAGAAAGGCTAATTGGAGATGCAGCCAAGAACCAGGTGGCCCTTAACCCTAACAACACTGTGTTTGGTACGTTGTTTTTCATTTGCATACACTCGAGCCTAGACCCTAAAATAAAAACCCAAACTCAGTGGTTTCTCCTCTGTCCTGATTGGTGATTGTTACGTTTTTGATCCTCAGATGCCAAGCGTCTCATTGGCCGCCGCTTTGATGACAGCGTAGTTCAGTCCGACATGAAACACTGGCCGTTTTCTGTCATCAGCGATAATTCTCGACCTAAAGTCCAAGTGCAGTACAAAGGTGAGGCCAAGACCTTTTACCCTGAGGAGATCTCCTCCATGGTCCTCGTGAAGATGAAAGACATTGCTGAATCTTTTCTGGGAAAGGTAACACACTTCAATTCTGTCAGACCTGCCTGACCAAAACGTTTATGTTACGATTTCTTTGGCACGACACATGGAGAAAGAGTGAATAGTTCTCTTACCATAGAGCAAGACGATCAGCAGTTCAACCTCCAGCTCGAACTGTTTCGTCTCTCTAACGAAGTGTATTGTATGGAATGATTATTCTATAAAACTCTCCTCTGAAGCTGGCTTGTTGTTCTCCACTTCACAGAGTGTGTCAAACGCCGTGGTAACTGTTCCCGCCTACTTTAATGACTCGCAGCGTCAGGCCACCAAAGACGCCGGCGTGATTGCCGGACTCAACGTGCTTCGTATCATCAACGAGCCGACTGCTGCTGCCATCGCCTACGGTCTGGACAAAAAGGTTAAAAACATGTTGGCCACAGTTCAATGTAAAATGTGGGTCAAAGTGAGAATGTTCTGTTTCTGCCGAGGGTGAAGATGTGAAATATTGAATGAGCGAAAACTGAAGTGGTAAAACCGAACCATAGAACTCTTTCATAGACACCTTACTCTTACCTGTCCCACTGTTACAGTCGTTGAACGTTAAAGAAATCAAATTGTTTTTGTTTAAATTTGAATCCTTAGGTGGGTCATGAGAGAAACGTCCTCATATTTGATCTTGGTGGTGGAACCTTTGACGTCTCCATTCTGACCATAGACGATGGGATCTTTGAGGTGAAGTCCACAGCAGGGGACACCCACCTTGGTGGGGAGGACTTTGACAACCGGATGGTGAACCACTTCATCTCTGAGTTCAGACGTAAACTTAACAAGGACATCAGTGACAGTAAGAGGGCAGTGCGACGTCTGCGTACAGCCTGTGAACGAGCCAAACGGACGCTGTCCTCCAGCACGCAGGCCGGCATCGAGATTGACTCGCTCTGCGACGGTGTGGACTTCTACACCTCCATCACCAGAGCACGCTTCGAGGAGCTCAATGCAGACCTGTTTCGAGGAACCCTGGAGCCTGTGGAGAAGTCTCTTCGAGATGCCAAGATGGACAAGGCTCAGATCCATGACATTGTACTGGTCGGAGGCTCCACCCGAATTCCCAAAATCCAGAAGCTTTTGCAGGATTTTTTCAATGGAAAGGAACTTAACAAGAGCATCAACCCTGATGAGGCAGTGGCTTATGGTGCAGGTCAGTTTTGGTCAATCATCTACCTTCATTCCTACAACTTCCTTCCTCATCTCCACGTGTCTTTATGGGCATCTTCCTGTTTTGCTCCACCTTCATCCGATGTCTTTGTTCATGCAGCTGTCCAGGCAGCCATCCTCACCGGTGACCAGTCGGAGAATGTGCAGGACCTGCTGCTGCTGGACGTGGCCCCACTGTCACTGGGAATTGAGACAGCAGGAGAAGTCATGACCGTCATCATCAAAAGGAACACCACCATCCCCACCAAGCAGACCCAGACCTTCACCACATACTCTGACAACCAGAATGGAGTTCTCATCCAGGTATTGTTGCTCAGGTTCTAAGATTATACAGGTTCTTAATACATATTTTCTACAGCCCCACTGCCTACACTATGGGCCACACTGGTGTTCACCACTTCGTGACCAACACGGTCAGATAATTGCCTCTTCCTGCTCTGAAGGCTTTGTTTCATTCCACAGGTGTTTGAAGGAGAACGAGCCATGACCAAACACAACAACCTTCTCGGTAAATTTGACTTGACTGGAATCCCACCTGCTCCCAGAGGAGTTCCCCAGATCGAGGTGACCTTTGACATTGATGCCAATGGCATAATGAACGTGTCTGCAGTGGACAAGAGCACAGGGAAGGAGAACAAGATCACCATCACCAACGACAAAGGTAGAGTTCAGCTTCTCCTGCTTCCTCTCACACCACAGACTATTTAGCTCTATTTTCCTTGGGGTTTCACTGAGTAGTCATTTAATGTCGCCTGCAGAAAATGAGAAAAAAATTGGCAGATCATCTCGTTCCTTTAAAGTCTGATGTTAGGTGTTCTGGTTCCTGTTGAGGAAACAAGACTCTCTGTCTTCTGCTCAGGTCGTCTGAGTAAAGAGGACATTGAGCGTATGGTCCAGGAAGCCGAGAAGTACAGGACAGATGACGATGTTCAGAGAGAGAGAGTGTCCTCCAAGAACCGTCTGGAGGCCTACGCCTTCAACATCAAATCCACCCTGGAGGACAAGAACATGAAGGGGAAGATTAGTGATGAGGACAAGGAGAAGATGCTGGACAAGTGTAAGGAGGTCATCAGCTGGCTGGATAGAAACCAGGTACTGGTACAAAATCAGAACCAGGTTCTGACTGCAGACTAATTGGATTTTGAGAGAAGTTCTTTCAAATTCTTACTTCTATACATGTAGCAGAGGCTTTTATACTAGTGACTTACAAGAGGAGGAGCCAGTGGTTGTGATGTTGCTATATCTGTGGTCCCTCCTTCAGACACAGAACGTTTTCGGTAATGTTTGAAAAAAAGCCCAGTATTTACACACAGATCCTGCTCTTTAGGATACACGTGAACAATAATTAGAACAAGAACAAACAGCCAGAAGAAGAAGAATCTAGAATAGTTCTCTACAGCTTATATGCAAATGTAAATGTTCTCTGTCACCACATGTCACCTCTCTCACTGACCCCACAGAGACTAGCGCAGGCTGCCTTTCCAGTTTGTCTGTACTGAAGTGCTACTGCAGTTTTATTGTGTCTGTTGATGTCTGTCACATCAGGGTGAACCACAGCTGGACTGGACATAGAACATTCACCAGATGTGCTTCCCATCTGATGTTCATCTTCGTTCTCTTGACATCTATGTCTTTGTGTTCTGTCAGTCTGCAGAAAAAGAGGAGTTTGAGCACCAGCAGAGGGAGCTGGAGAAACTCTGTAACCCTCTCATGACCAAGCTGGGAGCAGGCGGAATGCCATCTGATTTCCCTGGGCCTAGAGGCGATGGTTCTGGTCCCACAGTGGAGGAGGTTGACTGAGCCACGTTTTTAAGGTTTCACTCTGTTCTTACTAGAAATGATTGGTAGAGATTACAGCAGTTGTACCAGTTCACAGACGTTTTTAAAAAATGACTTGGGTTAAATCCAAAATTGTCCAATTAGAACCTTTATCCCAGGTGCACTATACAATGACATTTGTAGGTAAACTCTTCATCAACAGATAATGACAAACAGTGTAGCCAAAGGTAAAAAAAAAAACCTTTTCTTTAAGTTTTTGATCTGTGAGGATGTGAAATGTTCAAATAGTATCTAAATAAAATGATCAAAGAATAAACAGTAAGTCATGTTTGTCATCTGTCAATCTGGATCCTTGATTAAGAACGTTTTAAATAAAACTCTGTAGTTTGTAAAACCATTTCAAACTTCTGTGTTCTCTTCTCCACTTTTGGAATAATATTTCCTATATGGAAAAACACAGCAATTGTGTGAGCTACGGGAATCCAGCAGGAAATCCTGAAAAGGTTTGGAAAATTTCAATCGAGGGTTTACTCAAAGAATAAAACTTTTATTTGTCGCTTTGCTGTCTTAATAAATCCTCACCGTTCAACGTCTATTCTTACGCTTGTTTAAAGCAGCAGTTTGAAGTGGTGTGTGGTCAAACCTCTCCCTCTAGTGGTGTTCAGCGGTGACTGCACCTCTGTCAGAATTCTCCACACCCTCTCAATGCTGTTTAATGGCTAGTTGAGAGAGAAAGAGACAAAGAAAATGCTTAGAGAAAGAGAGCGAATGAGATGTGTGATATAATTATCGTTCAAACTCAATGTTGTAGCGGTTGGCCCCCACCAGGAGGCGTTAGTAAGGAGCGGCTGAATCAGCTAGTGTGTGACGCGGAGGTGAGGCTTCTGCTCTCTTTTTGTGATTTGTGAAAGACAGATGAAGGAAGAAAAGAAAGAAGTGAAGGCCTGGTTCGGTTCGGTTCGGTTTCGCTGGTTTTTAGGTGCTTCGGATCGGAAATGATTGCGTTGGCACGTGTTATTGCCAGCACAGAGAACTGGAAATGGTTTTGGCAAAACTTAAGAGGACGAAGCTGAAGAACCTGGAGAAGGAGGAGGCGCGTGTGTGTGGAGCAGAAGGTGGACGTTTGGTCATGGAGTTAAAGATCACACTGACGATCGTGAAGTTGTTGATGACGAAGATGCTGTGGACTCTTCCAGGTCAGTTCTTCACCACGTTGACCATTAAACTTCATCACTGTCTTTTTAAATTAACTACACCGGGAATAAAAACGTATGTCGACGTTAGCAGTTTGAGACCAGAGAAGAACTGGTAGAAGAGCGAACCAAACTGGGCCAGAAGATGAATTTGAATTTTTTTTTTACACGAATAAACAGAGATCTCTTGTTATTCAAGCGCATTTTCATTAACAATTTTAAAACTGTTTTGTTACCATGTTCAGGTTTTCCTGGTTTTGGTCTTCCTTTGTCCTGCAGTGATGCTGGTTCTGTCCAAATCTGGTATTGTGGTGTTCCAGGTCTTGAAATGTTTTGTTGACATTCAGGAGGTCAACAAAGTTAAAATATGTTGACGATCACAGATGGAACCCAGAGTCTGGGCTGTTGATGTTCTAGATCCTTCTACACCTGCTGACCTGAGCTCCACTGGTTCTTCAGCCATGACTGTTGACTGTTGTCACTCAGCCATTGGTTATGAACCTGTGCTTGAGTTTAGAGTTCTGAAATCGTACCAAACGTTTACTGAAGTTCAACAGAACTACAGATGTGAGACCAGTCAACCTTCATCAGAAACAGAAACAAAGACTGACCAAAGGGTTCATAAATGTGAAAGAAGACCAGACACTCAGTGCAGACCAGACCACATTGTCAGTCCAGACTCAGGACCAGACCCGCCCAGGCCAGATTATGATGATGAATGTGATAGTGGTGCAGGGGGATGTTAGGAGCCAACTAACAGCAGCTGATCAGCTGACCCCAGGGTCAGGCAAAGAGGACACAGACCATTCAAGCATTTGTGTTCAGCTTAAAATGAACCCTGACGCCCAGTAGGAACCAGTGGAGAGAGCTGCAGCTTCAGTCCTCTTCTGTCCTGGTGTCATTAGTGTGAATAACCAGTCTTGGTGGAAGGTGAGGGGAGAGTGGTGACAAGTGTTTTAAAGACACCTAAGGGGGAGTCAGAGCTGTTGAATAATTGGACATCAGCTGAAGTCTTTTTCATCTTCACTTGTTAAAGTGGTCCTGGTCCTGGAGCTGGACCTGGTACAGTTACTCTGGTACAGACATTTGTTTTATGCTGATACCAGGAGGAACTGTTGACATCCAGTCAGAGAGAACACGGTGTTGATGTAAGATGGAGAGGTGAAGTCAGAGAAGCTGCAAGCTCCATTGGTGAGGACAAACCTTCTGTCCGGACTTTTGTCTCTCCGCCAATGACAGCTTGTCCTCATAATCAGATTAGAGCCAGGAGACACAGATTAGAAGAATCTGCAGATGGCCATGAGGAGAGGTCTGAAACGGAGAGAGTAGCNNNGAAAGAGTGAAAAGAAACTGAACAAGAACTGGTGAACTGTGTGGAAGCCGCGTGCGTGTGTGTGTGTGTCAAGATTAAAGATAACAACCTTTGAGAGCAGCAGAGAATCACACAAACACGTTCCCCTCTTTAAACACCTCCATCAACTGATCAATAATCTGATGAGTGCTACAGCATTAGCAGCTTAGCTCCTCACTGACAGATGGCCTTAAACAGAGGAAAAGATGCAGGGAAGTCAGGTTCACTGTGAAAACGGTACACTGTTAAACACTGTTAAACACTGTTAAACACTGTTAAACATTAACACCCACTTTAAACAGAGCTCCACTCTAAATAATACATGCTTCTAACTTTGTTTTGACAGATGACAAGCTAAAATGTTTCACTTTATTATTTTATATATTTTAAAGAATATGATTTTTTGTTTTGAATAAACGACAGTTTAAGGTTACATTTAAAAACGTAATCAGCGGAAACACATTCAGGTGACGTTAAAGAACAAATGTCTACAGCTGTTATATTCAACACTATTGGCTCTGAATGCTGTCATCTAGTCTATGGTGAGCTGGATACTAATGTATTGTAGCTACTTGGAGCTAACGTTAGCTTTGGTGTCTGTATCAAAACTGTTGGGGCTAATGTTAGCTTAAACTCTTTGTCGAACTATTTACATATACTGTGCTGTTATCCAAGCTGACATCCAGTAGTTAAAAAGGACTCTGATGTCATCATCTCGTTTTTGTGCACTGACGTCACCCATTCCATGCTGTTCAACTTCTGACTGTCACACACACTTTTAGCACATTTCTGCCACCTACAGGCTGACATTTGTGTATCAATGTTTAGCGGGATATACGAGAACTGATTAAAGGTGAATTTGCCCAAGTTATTTTTATAAGAAGCTATTCTGAAATGAATAATTTGAAATTCATGTGTTCAAGTCCTTGTCCTAATGTTGTGGTTCTGGTTTCTGTTTTGTTTTTTTTCTTCTCAGACACATTTAAGTCACAGAGAAACCGTTTCAGGTCTGACTGCCTGACTGACTTCTTTAGTTAATAACAGACTGGAGGTTGTAATGGCTATGCTGTTTACAAAAAGAACATTATTCATTATTATGTATTCCTTTCTCACTTGTTCAAAGCTCTGATCACATGACCACCATCAGTTGGTGTGTAGAAGCTCCTGCTGTTGAAGGTAAAGTAAACATGTAAAGCACATACATGCTGTGGCTCATCATGTGTCACATCATATCCATGTCCAGTTCACATATTTGACTCACGTGAGGTGACAGGATTGAGCCTGGGATTGAGCAGGGATTAGCCAGGATTAAGAAGATCCTGCGACTCAGGAAGTAAGAGACGACAGTGACAAGAGGACACAGAGGTCACTGCAGCGAAAACTTGGGTCGGAGCCAACAACCCTTCCAGCCTAGGACAGACTCTCAATCTCTCTCTCAATCAGAACAGAATTCTGAACAGAAGACTGGTCTTCTGTTCAAAAAGAGTCTGTGATTTTAACTCACAATGGCAGAGGAGCAGCAGGTCCACTGCTGCCCCCTGTGGCCGCTGAGTGGCGTCCCAGTGACTTAAATGTTGCAGCTCTTGGTTGTGGTTTAATACCCTATTATAGATGTAATGATTAAAAACCATGACATAGAAGAAACAGCTGCAGATTCATTAGCGTTTATATGAGGATGAACTCACGTGGATCAGTCAGCTGTTCATCTGTGGTTCATCATCATTTCCATCATCATGTTTCCTCTGTCTCCTCCTCCCCTCCATGTATTTCTGTCCAGACACTCTGATGTTGGTCTCACTGTCATTTTTCCAGTCTCACAGTATTTACACCTTTAGTTCACTTTACTTTTTAACAGAACTAATTTTTTTTTTCAAACTGGAGGTTCAGACAGAGAAGGGTTGTCAGGATCAGCTGATCCAAGTTCAGCTGATCCAGGTACAGCTGACTCCTCCAGGTGACCAGATGCAGTGTGAGTCAGAAAATCCTGAAAGTCTTCTGTTGGGATTTTATTTATTTTAATTTTTGTTTTAGCTACATGTTTTTATTGTTGCTCTGGTTTATTATGAACTTGTATTCATGTCAAACCTAACCTTACGCGCTATCAACTGTTGTTGTTGCTGTTATAGGTGAGGGCCAGCGGGTGGAGCTGTCTTCAGCAGAAGTGGAGGTGGTGAAAGGAGACATGGTGGTTTTCCAGGCCTGGTACAGTCCAAACTCAGACTTTTCCAAAAACTCTGTGGTCTGGCAGTGGACGGGAAACAAAACCAAACAGGTCAGATTTTCTTTTCAAATTAAATTGCATGTAAAATTAAAGAAAATAAAAACGTGATTCCATTGTGATGTTGCACTGACCTCTAGTGACTTAATAATATAAAATAAAATGTTCAATTTTTTTCTGTTTAAGTGTAATTATTCCACTGATTCATGTCTGGTCCATATTTATGTCTAATTTCTATGTCATTAGTGTCTCACGTCATGTCTGTGTATTTCATGTCCAGTTTTAAAGGTGAACTAAAAGCTTTAGATTATTTTTTCTTTTTAAATGTTTGACGTTCAGAGTGTTTTATTTTATAAAACACACAGATCTGACCAGGTTGATAATTAACAGCTGCGATGTTGTCTTTAATGTTCATCTGAGTCACGTGTCTTTTCCATAATGTCTTTTTAATCTGGTGATATATATTTAATCTTCACAGATTAGGATTATCACACGGGGGATAATGGTGGCGAGGCAGGGAGGATGAATGTAATTAATGAGAAGATGACACTAATGACATCACTCTGTGTGTGTGTGTGTGTGTGTGTGTGTGTGTGTGTCCATCTTCTGTTTTTCATGTCAGCATCTTCACCAGCCAATCAGAATAGTCCTGTTTCATCTCACCGTCACTTCCACCTCCACTCTTTTCTGTTTTTACTTCATTTTTATGTAAAACTAAAAAATGTAATAAAACTAACTTATGTTGTTGTTTTTCTACAGTGCTTTGTTTACACACCACCTCTGTGGAGGTTTGTTTTCTCTTCTTTTTAGCTGCAGCTGTGTGTGAGGATGTGCAACAAGCTTTGTCCATTTGACCTCCACGTCTCTCTGTTTCTTAATCTCAGTTAGCAACACCTCTGTCTCTGACTTCCTTCATGTCTGTCTCCCAGGTGATAAACTTCAGCTCAGGTGAGGTGGGTCTGGGTCAGGGGGACTTCGCAGACAGAGTGGGCTTCACTGCGTCCATGCCCTCTACAAACCTGTCCATATACATCAACAACACGCAGGAGTCAGACTCCGGACGCTATGTCTGTAGTGTCCTAGTGCCAAGAGGACAGGGTCTGATCGGAGAGGTCCAGCTCAACGTCAAAGGTACGGAATTCTGCACGAATACAGAAGAAAAATAATAGGAATGACTGTATATTATGGAAAGAACACCAAACCTAGCCAAAAACAAAAGACCAAGCATTTACTGATCGTATCATTAAATTAGAGATAACAAACATTGAATAAAAGCTGAAGAAAGAGGCAACGAGGAAAAGTCAAAGTGTGTGGAGAAGTTGAATTTGACCCCAGTGTGAACTTGTGGATTAAATGCTAACACCAGGGACCTGAGAGAAGGTCAGATTCAATCCCAGCAGATCGTAATCTACTCTGAGACAATATGAATCTTTGAGATTAAAGCTGTCTTCTATGAAATGTCTCAGTCAGTATTAAAGAAAGAAAACGTATCACTGTCTGTGAAGATGGTGTAATGATGTCACGTTAGAGGGGGTGGAGTCACAGCGTTCCCTGTTTCTTTATAATCTTAGAGAAATCTCTCTCTCTCTCCTGCCCTATCGTCACCCTCTTATCCCTCCTATCTTCATCAGCGCCCCCGTCACCCCCCATCTGTTCAGTGTCAGGTGACCCCGTGTTGAAGGGGAATGTGACTCTCAGCTGTAGGTCCACTCATGGAAAACCACTCCCTCAGTACAAGTGGACCAAGACAGCACCTCACTCAGAGGTTTACTTCTCACCCATGCAGAGTGAGTACGACCAGTCACATGACCTGCACACACACAAAAAACTGAAAATAAACTTTTGACCCAGAAAAGCTAGAAGCCAAAAAAAAATCAAAAGTCATAGTAAATTAACTTAATTTAAAATGGGAATTTCACCAAATATTTAAGAGAAGGTTAGCAAAGAAAATGAACAATCAAGGCTTGAAGGGTGAGCTACATTTACATTTATGCTTTTAGCAGATGTTTTATCCAAAGCCATATGCTGTACATGAGGAGGATTAAGTGTATGATTCCACTAGGGTTCAAACCCAGGGCCGTCTGCGTGTAAAATCTAAACTATACAGAAAAGGTGAAAACTGAGTCCACAATAGATAACAAAGACGGACTCCTCCATCTGCCTAAATAACTATACAAATGTTGGCTAAAGCTTTATCTGTTAAAAGTCAAACTAAAGTTGACTAAAACAATCAGTGGTTTTTATCTCTCAGACATCACAAAACTGCAAAATTTAAGTGTGGAGCCATCAGACAGTGACACAAAGTCACCACAGGAGGCAGCAGTGGACCAGTAGCTCCTGTGTCTCCGTGAGCTAAAATCACTTATTTTCCCTGTGAGGTTTTGAATAGGTCAGACATGACTTTCCTTCATCTCTGTGCTCCATCTCAGTCTGTCTCTCCTCTGTGGTCTTTCCTTTCACAAATTAAAAAAACAAAAAAACTCATGCAGAGTGGAGGACGTGTCCTCAGCCTCTGATGGTGCTGGGCTTCATGGGTAAGAATTCTACCTCTCTCACCATAATCTTCATCCTTTCCTCACAATGCTGACTCTTCAAGAGACTTCTACAGAGGAGTCTCAAAGGCAAAAAAAAAAAATCATTTGTCTGACTGAGTTCTCATTAAGTGATCAATTTGTTGGTGGAATTATAATCATTAAAAAAAAAAATCTCTGAACATAAAATAAAAAAACACTTTTTATAATAAAGAAATGAATTTGCCTTTAAGTATGTCCATTTGTTAAGAGTCATTCATTCGTTCATTCATAAATCAATAAATTGAAATAGCTAAATACAGACCAGTTATTTCTGAATTATAACCATTGTAAAATGTAAATTAAAACTAAAATATTGTTGTTAATATAGTTAAGTTAGTAATATAGTTGTCATTTTTACTGTTGTCATTTTTACATTCAGGAAAGTTTAGTAGTTTAATGTTAGCTTCTTAGCGTTTACAGGTATTTAGCGTGTTAGCATGTAAACGTGTTTAGTGTGTTAGCATGTCAACTTGTTTAGTGTGTTAACAGATAAATGTGTTAATGTCACACGTTTGTATAAAAATGTTGAAGTAATGAATTTGAACAGAATTTAAAATCTGTCTGAAATGTAACTTCCTCTCACCGTCCCTGGAAAATGTCCACAGGTGAAAGTTCTTCTGGGTTTAGTTCAGTCCTGCTGCAGGTCTTGTTTCCTCAGTCACTCAGGGATCTTTTTTTGTGTGTGTTTTATTTGTTTTGTTATGTTTGTTTTTCAGATGAGAGACAAGGCAGTCTGAGGCTGAACAACCTGACCAATCAAATGTCAGGGAAGTATGTGTGTCGAGCTTTTAACAGCGCAGGTTCTGACAGTTGCTCCATCAGCCTGGAGGTTGTGACCTGTACGTGTGTAATCACAACACGCACACACACACACACACACAGACACGGTGTGTTTTATTCAAAACAACAGAACTCTGACAGCAGTTCTTCCCTCAGCATCGAACACTGGTCTGGTGGCTGCAGCCGCACTGGGCTCCGTTGTCGGCCTCATCTTCATGGTTCTGCTGCTTGTCTTCATCCTCAGACGACAACAACGAAGGCGGGCACGCCCTGAGGAGGAGGAGGAGGAGGAGATGTCCAACGAGATCAAGTGAGAGCCTGGTTACATCATGGGGTTAACAATGTCCACCACTGTCCCACACCAAAGTCAACACACTTGGATCAATACGGTCAAAAGTTGGCTAAAGTCAAGGATTGGCTACACAATGACAAGAGAAAAACCTAGTCTCTCTGTTTCCTGTCTCACTTTGTTTCCTGTCTCACTCTGTTTCCTGTCTCACTCTGTTTCCTGTCTCACTCTGTTTCCTGTCTCACTCTGTTTTCTGCCTCTCTCTGTTTCCTGTCTCACTTTGTTTCCTGTCTCACTCTGTTTCCTGTCTTCTGTCCACAGAGAGGATGCTCTGGCTCCACAACGGGTCTCGTGGTCCAAGCACAACACCAGCTCAGACTCCATATCCAAGGATGGGACCATGTCCTCTGTCACCACTAGTCCTCAGGCTCATCAGTCAAGGTTCCTCCACCCATATTCTCCAGTCTCTGCATCAGACTCCAGCTCCATTATCCAGGCCTACCACCTCAGACCAGGAGGAGACCACACCCTCCAGGGACTTCCTGGTTACAACTCTTCATCACGTAAACACAAGAGGTTTCCTGGAACAAACGGTGTCCCACCACAGCTCCTCAGGAATCCCCATAACCCCCTATCAGACAAGGCTCTGAGAGTGGAGCTTCCGATACCTCCTGCCTCTACGACGACTGTCATGGTGCCGTCTCAACGCCAGTCAGGATCACTGGTCTGAGGACAAGCCAATAACCTGGGGCCCTGATGAAGGAATGTTGCGTACACACGTTCCGATGGATCAAAACCGAGTTGACTGTGGAAGTGTGTGTTTCAAGGCAGCTCCACAGCTGCCCTACGCACATTTCTACAGCTATTGTTGTTTTAGCGACACTTAGGGGTGATGCTGGGAAATTGTCAAGACAATCCGTCATCATTGGAGTGATGTGCACATCAGAGACACACTTCTGAACAGTTAACACACCCAGGTGTGTTATGGTGTCTGTGGATATTGAAGCAAAGTGGTGAAGAAAATGGTATTATCAATGACTGATGATTTTAAAAATGCTCTGGGCTGAATGTACAGAAAACACTTCAGTCCTGTTTTTATGTATTTGTCAAATATACAGTTTGTTCACCCTTCTATGACTTATTTTATAAATATGAAAAGGTTTTGTTATACATCTTTATAAAAGATTCTAATGTCACTGATACTACTTTAACTTAACAAGTTCAGGTCAACAGAAGAAAAAAAATGTTTTTCTGTTTTTAATTAAACCTTTTCTTTTGTTCAACAGTTTTTGTGTGTTTTAAAGAATTCAGTTTACTAATTTCACTGGTTTTGACTGGTACTGGACTAGTTTTGTCTCCCCGACCATCTGAACTGATCCGGTTTTGTCTTGTTTGTCTTGGTTCGACCTACATGACCAAGTCCCTATGGACAGAAATAATGGAACAGAAGAGCAGCGTCGGCATCATTAACGGCTGTTAATGAGGTGACAGCGAGAAGAAAACCTGACGTGTCCCAGAGGAGGAAGACTTTTATTAGCTGTCAACTGGACTCACATCTCAGATCTGTTCAATGGACCAGATCCTCTTCCTCCTAACTCCATCATCCCTCCCAGGTCCTCGTCTTGAACAGGTCCACCAGGTCTCTGTGGTGGTTGTACAGTGGCAGACAGTCCAGTGACCGAGAGGCACACTGACCCACAATCCTCAGCCCAGGGAAAAAAGGGGGTTTCCTGAAACACAGATGAGCTGATCCACACCAACAAGTAGGCAGTATTGTACAAACCAAACCAAAACATCAAGCAGAATCTGCAGCTCCTTGACCTTAGATCACATGACATCAATATAGAAAAAACTGACAGACACCGTTGTTTGACCCACTGCTGCCTCATCCACTAAGTTCAAATGTGTTGTTTTGTCAGTCTCCTGTTCTCTTATACCTTGTTCAGATTTACTATAGTGCCACAAACCAACCTCAAGGGGCAGCAGTGGACCAGCAGCTGATGTGTCTGTGAGCTTAAATCATTGATTTTCTCTATGACCTTTGGTCTGTGCACGTGGTTTACAAACGTTAGTGTTCTGTCTGGTCGTTTCTTTTCCCAGGAGCTAGGTTCTGATGACGTTTATTCCCTACAGTCATATTAGGACAGAGCTGAGCTCTCCCATTAACAATAAATAAAAGAAACTGAGACTCAGACTTCAACATATTCAAATATCTCCTCCTTTGAATCCAAATCTCATTGACTTCAAATGAGTCCCATTTAAGGACTTTCATTGGTTGACGCCAGCTGTAATAATGAGTGTTGTGACCATATATGTGTGTAAACATCTAACATTTAAGGTGCAGGACACTGGACTTCTAGGGCTTTTCAACGATACCACATGTGATGGGGTTGGGCTAATTACCATACAAATATTAAGTAATTTAAAAATTAAAAATAGTCAGAAAGATGTAATACAACATATATAAATATATAAAGAAATATAGTAGCAACAATGATATAACACACTATAATGGTAATAGAGGTCATAAATAAAGCTATAACATTACTACGTTCAGCTGAATGAGAAATAGAAATATTTAGTTCCCTTCTGAGATCAGCAGTCGCTCTGAGACCCAGCGATCAGGGGGGAGGAAAACTTCCTCAGGCGAGATTTTTAATCATTAAAATAAAAATAGAAACTATTACAAAGTGGCTGGGAGACAAAGCAGGTTGTCTAAAAAGGAGAAAGTTTTCTGACTGCTATCATTTAACTCATCAAGAGACTGGTAGAAGATGAGCTGCTAAAAACTATACTAATGAATTAGGTCAGAACAACAGACAGTGGACCTGGGTCTGCTTGGTTCTTTAACCTGTTTTAAGTTGAATTCTACAGTATGAAGGAGTTCGGCCCTTGTCCTGGTCTGGTTTTGTCAGACCTAGTCTGTTCTCGACCTGGTTTGGTCTGGTTTTATCAGTTGTAATCTGTTCTTGTCCTGTTCTGGTTGCTGTAGAGATGATGAAATCACCACAAAATGATGAAAAAGAACTGAATCGTGACTTTTACTAGAATCATGATCTTTTCTGGTTTCTCTGTAGGAACCAGTGGAGGGGGGAGTGGCGATGGAGCACCGCCCCAGGGGCGTGGTGTTGTGAGCCAGTGATGATAATAAAAATGAGTGGAGGTAAAGAAGCTACATCACTTTCTTCTGGCTTCTAGATCAGTGTCCAAGGTTTCAGGTGAGATCATTCGCTGATTCTGTGATGTCATCCAAATTTGAAATTCCATGAATCTCAACTTTTTCCTTTTTTATTTTTAAAACTGAGTAACAATTTTGATTGCCTGTTTTTCAGCAAAAGAAAAGATGACAACCCAGGCTCTGCTGCTGACCGAGGCTCAGAAGAAGGATCTTCATGAGACAGCACTCTGCATCGTTTCTCCAGGAAAAGGAATTCTGGCTGCAGATGAGTCTGTGGGTCTGTAACTATATTTATCTTATTCTATCTATTATACAAAGCACAACGTTTTTTCCAGCAGGGAATTCCAGACACTTCCCAAATTCCCTGTCTCTGTCAGATGAGACTTTTTCGGGAACAGTGACAGGATCTCGGTGAGGAGGTAGCTTTATTTTAAACATTAAATAAAATGTCAGTGTGAGGATAAAACAAGAGTGAGTGGTTTAAAGAGTTAAGAAAAATCTTAACTCTGCTAAACAAAAGGACTGGATGCTAAGTTTCTGTTTTTCCTGACGCAAATAAAAGAGCTGTGGACAAATCAAAAGCCTTGTGTCTTTAAACTCAACTTAGTCAAATTGAAACCAGATTTCCATGTCCAAAATACATGTTTGTCTCCAGTAGATGGCAGAATAAGCTAGTTTGTGTTGAGAGGAAACACTGTGTCTGTTTATAACACGCTCTACATTCAAACTAGTGGTCCATATCCACACCACAGTGTCTACATCTGATGATGCTGTTGTAATGTTCCTGCTCCAGGTAGCATGGGCAAGCGCCTGACCCAGGTGGGAGTGGAGAACACGGAGGAGAACCGCCGTCAGTTCCGTCAGATCCTCTTCAGTGCTGATGATCGCATTAACAGCTGCATTGGAGGAGTTATCTTCTTCCACGAGACACTGTACCAGCACTCGGACCATGGAGTGCCCTTCGTCAAGATGATTCGAGACAAAGGGATCCTGGTTGGAGTCAAGGTCTGGAACATTCCAACTTAAAACTACAGCTGCATGTCAGAGTGAACACAACAGGTGTTTGTACCAAATATAAAACTAACATATGGACAAAACATTTTCTCATCCATAACTAGTATCAAGAATGTGGGTCACATGATTTGGTGTGGGAGACTTTAAATGAATCTTTAAATCTGTAAATGTCTTGTTAACACATGATGTTGATCCCATTGCTACGGTTCAATTAGAAGCAAACACTGATGTTACGTCTGTGTCTCTACTGCTTCAGGTGGACAAAGGCGTTGTTCCACTGCCAGGAACCTATGGGGAAACCACCACACAGGGTCAGAAGAAATATTGTAGTAATAAACAAACCAGATTGCATTATTTCCAATGAGATCAATCCAATCCAATGAGATCGATCATATTTTAAACCATCTCTCCTGGGTCTTTTAGGTCTGGACGGGCTGTCGGAACGCTGTGCTCAGTATAAGAAGGACGGAGCAGCTTTTGCAAAGTGGCGATGTGTCCTAAGAATGAATGACACCAGCCCATCTCAGCTGGCCGTCTCTGAGAATGCAAACATTCTGGCCCGATACTCCAGTATCTGCCAGCAGGTCAGACCCAGAACTCTAACCACGGGTCACAGGTATATGCAGTATATATAAAAAACAGACCTACAGTCACAGTCTAATTACAACAAGTTGACTGGGCCTTTTGGTATTCACTTAGTACTGTCCTTCTTTACAGTCTGTCTTTCTTCTGAATGAGATCATCATTTACAAAAGACCAAAAACTAAATGTTTACTTACGTTTATAAACTTATTATTTTTTTAATTATTATTTTTTTCTCCACTATGCCCAGCATGGAATTGTGCCAATCATTGAGCCAGAGATTCTTCCTGATGGAGATCATGACCTCAAACGCTGCCAGCATGTCACCGAGAAGGTTTTTTGTTTCATCTAGTCCTGATTCTTACCATCTATGAATGAAGAAAGATCCAGAGTCAGTGAGGTTTCTCTGCTGTTGTTGTAGGTTCTGGCTGCGGTCTACAAAGCCATGTCAGAACACCGGGTGTATTTGGAGGGAACATTGCTTAAACCAAACATGGTAACGCCAGGACACAGCTGCAGCATCAAGTATAGCCCAGAGGAGGTCGCTATGGCCACTCTGACGGCTTTGCGACGTACTGTTCCTCCTGCAGTACCAGGTAAGAGCATCATTGTCAACACAGACTGAAGTGACAGGGACTGCAGCATGTTGCAGATTTTATAAATGTTATAAGGCCAATGTGTGTTAATCACAGAATGAGGTGGCATGGATTTAGGGACAGATAATAAAATATTTGTTTGTTTTTCTGACCAAATATTTTTGACAATTTTAAAGCAAGGAGATTTAGCAGTATGAGAGCAGGTTTGACATGTGGTGTGATTCCTGCAGGCGTGGCTTTCCTGTCAGGAGGTCAGAGTGAGGAAGAAGCCTCCATCCACCTTAACTCCATCAACAACTGTCCTCTGAATCGGCCTTGGATCCTGACCTTCTCCTTTGGTCGAGCTTTGCAGGCATCTGCACTGAGAGCGTGGAGAGGCCACAAAGAAAATGAAAAAAGTGCCACTGAGCAGTTCATCAGAAGAGCTGAGGTGAGATTAAAATCATCTTACTTATGATGCCATTATCTAAAATAAGGTCAAAAAATGAGGCCCACATAGAAGACACCACATATCCACAGTGTGGATGTGGAAGTGACAAAAGAATGTGACTCATATTCTAGGTACATTATATAGAACCTTACATGTTTGTCTACCTAACATACTGCTTTAATTGTGTGACACACATTTACCAGAAGTAAAGTTTTTTTGGTCCAACTTAGATCCAGAAAAATTCAGTTTAATCTATTTTCTTTGTTTTACCTTTTTTTCTTTTAGAATAAAATATGTCTTCTTCACATAGTCTTTTGGTTTCAGTAATGTCACTGACACAATTAAGTTAGGTACATCATTATGACAAGCTAAAACTCTGGTTTATGCTTTGTGCTTTCAGGTGAACAGTCTGGCCTCTCAGGGGAAGTATACCAGTACTGATGGCTACATTGAAGCTAACCAGCGTGTTTATGGATCCTGTTATGCTTACTGAATAACTTGCATCGTGTTACTCCTTTAGCTTTTCGCAGCAAAGTAGACAATGATTAACAGTTAGACTGTAGATACAATTGTTTGTAATAGACGCGCTATAAAATCCAACATCTATGTTAGAGCTAACTCTTTAACAAATCAACCCAGAGTCTCTTCCTTTATATAGCCACATGGCATGGAATGAAAGCATCTTCTTCAATATGCCTACACCTGGATACCAAATGTTGGACCAGACCTGAAGTTTTTTTTTTGGTCCAGTACACTAAGATTGTGGGTTGGAGGGTCAGAACTCATTTGTTTTGTATGTATCATTATTCAGTTGTACATGGATTATTTAGCTGTAAACATTTGTTTAACTCTTTACTAAGGAGCTATTATCTGCAAATTTAATTCAACGATGTAATGAGTGAGCTTGTTTGTGTACACCCACAGGCATGATGAACACTTCAACCTTAAAATAATAAATCAAACATAAAACGTTGAGCAACGCTGTGTTTTGCTGTCTTGCCTGAAATTCTGTTCATTAATATTGTTATTTTCCCATATCTTAATGTATATTGAAATGTTTAATTTATAGGCATGAAATTACACAACGAATCAAATGTTTTTGAATCGTATTACTTATCTCATAAGACTAAGCTAATATGTATTAAGATGGGCGTAGTCAACGTCAAGAACTATTCAATCACAATGGTCAACTTCACCATCAGATGTTGCAAATCCCAACACTATGTAGCTGCAAGATGATCAATGAACTACTTTTTGAAGCGGACGCTGGAGTCGCTGCTGCGCAACTTCCGGCAATCAGCGCCCTGAAGAAGAAGACCGGGTTCTCGTGAAAAGCGACGAGACGGTGGCGCGCACACGCTGCCTAATAACAAGAAACATACCAGATAATTTGAAACTATCGTCTTAAAAGCGATCTACGTGTGTGTGTTGGAAACGCTTAGCGTGAGCTAAAGAGGTAGTAGCCGCAGCACCAACAGCTTCCAGGTTAACAGCAGCACCAGAGCCGGAGTCGTAATGTCGGGTGTAGTGCGAGGCCCCGCCGGGAACAACGACTGCCGCATTTACGTGGGAAATTTACCGCCTGATATTCGCACCAAAGACGTAGAGGACGTGTTTTACAAGTACGGAACCATTCGAGATATCGACCTGAAGAACCGTAGAGGAGGACCGCCTTTCGCCTTCATCGAATTTGAGGACCCGAGGTAGGAGGTGCTAATGTTAACGGTTGGGCTTATTAGCAGTGATATGCTCCTTTTAACATAGCCAGGGTAAGGAAGTGTTTGAGTATTTATTTGTGTATTTAATACTTGTTTTTTCAGATTTAACTCCAAGAACCAAGATGTACTCAAATTATTTAATAAAAAGATTGGAACTCGCGCTTCGCGCACAACCTCGCGTAGGTTAAAGCTAATGCTAACACAGAATGAAACTATGCCTTTATACTACGAGTATGTCCCGAATAAACCACAGTGCTAACTGACACTTAGCTAACTCAAGTTAAATTGGCAAATATACGGTGGTGCCAAATTTAAATAAGATTAAATATAACAATCCAGGCTGGCTAAAGGCAGTGGCCAATTTAAATAAAAGCATGGGCAATTGGAATTACATTGGAAGCCGAATCTCGTATGAACAAGTGTTTGCTATTTCAATATTTACTTGTGAATTACAGATTCTTGTTTTTGATATGTGTTGTGTTCTTGTAGCCACAACACGGTGATCCCATGATCCGGACAAAGTAAAAGCTAAGACTCAGATGTTTCTTTGATATGAAAAGTCAAGATAGTAGGAGCTAACGATAATGCTAACACATGGTTCCCTTTTGTTTGAGAAGTCAGGCGAAATCAAAGCTAAACTGGCGCTTTGACACAGAAAGGTTCTATTTAGCGCTGGATATTAAAGCCGAAACCATGGCCAGAACTGTACGTTTCTAAATCTGAAATTCGGATGCAAGTTATCACTAAACTATGAGCACGTTGTTGACTCGACTTTAACAAGCAAAATGTAAGTAATTTGCAGAAACACTGTTTGATTTGCTGCATTTTGATTTAAAACTAAGTGTTGTATTTGTGCTTGAATTTGAAAAGTGGCGCTCTGTTAGTTACTATCGGAACACGTTTTTTCTCCGGTTGAACATATAAATAAGCGCCAAAGCTGGGGGGGAGGGGGGTGCTATATTTTAAGGCCGCGCACGGCGCATGCGTTGGCATGCTAACAGGTTAATAGCAGCTTGAGTGTGTTCATACAGACGTCTTGTATGCCATTCAGCGCAGATTTGTAAATGTGAAAGCGGGACTCCGTTTAACTTAGGTTCCCCGGACCCCTTACTCGTCTACTAGCCGCGCACGGCGCATGCGTTGGCATGCTAACAGGTTAATAGCAGCTTGAGTGTGTTCATACAGACGTCTTGTATGCCATTCAGCGCAGATTTGTAAATGTGAAAGCGGGACTCCGTTTAACTTAGGTTCCCCGGACCCCTTACTCGTCTACTAAACATTGAGTCACACAAGCTTTGACCGAAATCCTTCAGGATTAATGACACCACCTCCCATCTTCCACCTGATTTTTACTTTCTTACACTCACGTCATCCTGGTTGTTTGTGCTGCTTGCAATTGTTCCGGTGGTGAACAGTTTTTCTTTATTTTTAAATTGTATGTGTGCTTTTTTCCTCGTTTTGTGTGACCAGGGACGCAGACGATGCAGTCTACGGACGTGATGGTTACGATTATGATGGATACAGACTGCGTGTGGAGTTCCCACGGAGCGGCAGAGGTTCCAGGGGAGGGGGAGGAGGAGGGGGTTATGGTGGAATCGGTGGCGCTCCCCGGGGTAGATATGGACCTCCATCCAGACGCTCGGAGTACCGAGTCATCGTGTCAGGTAGGTCCTGTGAATTTGGAGGTCGCACGAAGTAACTCTTCAGCGCAGGAGGATGTTCTGAAGGTAGTTTGAGTAGTTTGATGCATGAGAAGTTTGGTTGCCTGAACTAACCTTAGAGTGATCAATGCCTTAAAAATGATGTTTACAGAAAATTGAAAAGAAACAACAGCAGACAGCGGCATGATGCAGAAGAAAAGAAAGTAGCAGAATAATATTGGTTTCAGCAGATACTCCAAGTTGCTGTATTGGACATTAAATAGTTGTATCGGCCATCCTTATTTAGTACATCAACTAAAGGCTGAATGTCTGTGTGTGACACTTAATGAGCAGATGGTCGGGATTCTGAGCAGACAGTTCTATCCAAGTTGAATCTCAGGCTTATCACATTCGTACTGGCTGATTTTTGGTCCAGAGTTAAACCAGAAGGTTCATCTCATCTGTTGAAAATCAGGACCATTCATTCTCCTGACGAGTTGAGGGAAGGAGCAGTGAGTAGAGGGGTATGTTGAGGAGTTTTGTTTGTTCTCTGCAATCACAGTTCCAGGGCTGTAATTGTTTTCACTGGACATAAATCATGTTGTGTTTTTTAGACTAGGGGTGTGGTTCTTTAAACAGTTACTGTTGACATTTGTATGTATGATTGTTAGTATAATTTCCATGTGCATTTTATTTGTTTTACATTAGGCCTCCCTCAGAGCGGCAGTTGGCAGGACCTGAAGGACCACATGCGTGAGGCAGGTGATGTGTGCTACGCTGATGTTTTCAGAGATGGAACTGGCGTGGTTGAATTTGTGCGCAAAGAAGACATGACCTACGCCGTCCGCAAGCTGGACAACACTAAATTCCGCTCACATGAGGTAAGTGTCCTGACCTGTTTTGGTCCCAGAGAGGATGTGATTGTGTTGTGTTCAGGTGAGTTCACAGAAGAGGTGGTCAGGTGTGTGTCACCAAAGAACTTGGTAATTATAAAAAGTATTCACGTGTTGAGCCTTCATTTTCAAAGAACATCAGCATCTCCAGCCTCCTCATCATGTTTGCCTTTGTTGATGAGGAGGCACCAGGCTTCAGTAATCTGTTAGCCTGGTCAGCACAGCCCTGTACACAACAAAGTTCAGATGTGCAAACAGGATAACAACATGGTATGTTGAAATGTAGAAAATGAGTCCAAATGGATTAAAGAAGTTGTGTTCAAAAAGTCACTGTACCAGCTATCAACAACCAGCAGATATCACTATGATCTGCTAAGATGGTTGCACGGAAAGATGGACATTACAGTTTTTACACAGTACAGTCCCAGATATCACTATGATATGCTAAGATGGTTGCACGGAAAGACATTACAGTTTTTACACAGTACAGTCAACCAGACATAATTTTATAATGATGGTTAATGATGGTGTAAACAGATTTCATGGTGGAAGTCTGTGTTCAGTTGTTGATCAGTTCTGTAACTATAGCACATCTGTCGCCTGTGTTCCTCAGATCTCATTATACTAATGGTACGTAGGCCTCCAGAGTTTTTTTTTTCCTTCCTGTTGTTGCACCATCAGCTCACTTTTCATTCATTTTAATTTTCTTTTTCACCTGTGGACAGGGTATGTTTAATTCTGCCGTTTCACTTTTAACTTCTGTATCCACCAGGGGGAGACAGCGTACATCCGCGTGAAATTGGACGGTCCCCGCAGCCCGAGTTACGGAAGGTCGCGTTCCCGCAGTCGTGGCAGTCGGAGCAGGAGCCGAAGTCGCAGTGCCAGCCGCAGCCGCAGTGATTCCAGGGGGCGTGGCCGTGGTTCGCCGCGTTACTCTCCTCGTCACAGCCGTTCTCGTTCCCGATCCTAAAACTGGGGGAGAACTTCCCTTTGGCAGTTTTTACCTCCTCCCATGCTTGAGTTTTTAAGTTTTCCATTTGATGTCCCGCTGTCATGTGGATGATGTTGGTATGTAGCTGTAGCTCCGCCCCCTTTTTCCCCTCTTCATCTGTCACCCACCTACCCATGTTCTTCACAGCGTTAGGAATAGTGCTGTTGTTATTAAACTGCTTCTTGTTTTTGCTCTGATGAAATCTACTTTTCTCTGTTTTTTGTTTTTATGGATAAAAGTCTGTTTTGGATTTTGGGGCAGTTAACTGTATTTTACCCTTGTGTCTTCCTTTAGACGTCTGAAGAGAAGGATTAAAGTGATTTGGAATAAAAGCCTTGTGGAGCACGTTTGGTTTGTTTGGTCAGGATGTAGGAGGAACCATCAGGTCCAGGTACGACTGGTACCACCTACATCCCAGTCACTGCTCCTTCTGATTGGTTGATGGTTGATTTCATGCATGTGCTGTGTGAGTGGAGCTGTTGGTTTACATCTGTTCAGACTGTCTCACTGTTTCTGGACTCTGACAGAGTAAGAAAACAGACTTGGAATAGGTGTCAAATTTTCCTCGGTGTATAAACATTGTGGAGTTTCTTTTTTTTATTATTCTTGATCTGATTCCACTTGGAGTCAGATTAAGGATCAGGCCTAAAATCCTCTGATTCTAATGGTCTGCCTCTGATTTTCTTCCTGGTATTTTTTTAAAGGTTTTGATTGGAGCCATGGCTCAGCTGATCCAAATCCTGGAGCTGGATGAGTGGATCGTTTAGTGAAGGGATAGGACAGGATGGATGCTTGGAACGGGATCAGGTTTCCAGGATTCAAATGAAAGTTTTGTTTGAGAACAAAAGAGCTGAAAGTAAACTTTTCAGATGCGTTTATGGATTAAGTTTTACGAGGATAAAGGAAGCAGGACCAGGAAGTTGGATCACAGGATGGAGTCGTAGAAGCCTGGTACGAAGGAATCAAATCAAATTGTCCCTTTTTATGAAAAGGGATCCATTTGGGATTAGTTTGTCTAATCTTCTCCTCTCACAGCTTTTTTTTTTTTTATTTTTTAAAATAAAACTCTGGAAAAAGCAGTGAAGCAGTTTTGTTTTTCTTAAATGCAACTGAAGACTTCAGTATGTTGTTGACAAAGTTCTTAGAATTCCGTCTCAATGTTGGTGCCATCCCATTGGTCAATGATGTTTGGATTCAAACGAAAGTTCTGAAGATTCAAAGGGAAAAGTGTCTTTCTGTTTTTCAAAAAAAAAAGCGATCTATTAAAAGTCAACTAAAGAAGATTAGAGGTTCAAACTAAGTCTCTGCTGCTGAAGCCACCCACATGGGATCTTCAAAGCTGAATCTCAGTTTACTCTGTCAGGGAGGTTTTTCCAGAAGTTGAGTGTTTTGGTGATCATCCTCAGACTATTCAGATCTCACTGTAAGACTTAACTTCTCCAGCCTCCAGTGGTCAGTTTCAGTGAGATGATTCTGGAGGCAGAACTCTGTATTATATATACTGTATGTGTGTATATACTGTGTATATATATATTTGTGTTTTTTATTTCAAGAAAAACGGCTGATAGCTCTAGCCTTATCCTTCATGCACTCTTCGTCTGATTTGTTGGCTCACGTGATAAACTACAATTAAATTCGTGATGAACACTGGAAAATGAATTTCTGCTTCGGTTAAATAGCAAGCTATAGACACATACGTGCACTTCCCAGCTTCCACCAGTAGATAGAGCGCTTTATTCTGATGAACACTTCGAGGGTATTTTGCAACAGAAATCAATGTCTGATAAAAGTAAAGTTTATTTAAAAAACTTCTGTTAAACTTAATTCTTTTCTTTTTTTTAAGTTTCTTTTCTATTTCAATATCGCAAACTTGGATATGATTGTCGGTAGAGGGCGTTGTGTCTCTTTTTGCTATAAATGTAATGAGCTGTTAAGACCCAGAACAATTTAGTGCTATCAGCATCATTAGTAGTAGTAGTTGTAATCGTGTCGGGCAAGTCAGCGAAAAAAACTGCAAAGACTAGAGGTAGTCAATGGATGGGTTTAAAGTACGAGTTGTAAGAGTTTTACAAAAGGGTGGAGTCAGACGTCAGACACGACTGCCAGGGCTGTTTTTGAGAAGTCCCGTGGATGGCGCTGCGGAGCCGTTTGTTGAGCTTGGTGCTGCAACCCCTTTGAATGTTTAAGATGGGTCCTTTGGCTTGGCCCAATGTTAGGTTTGTGGAGCGTTACCATGGCGATCCACATTTCCTGTTGCCACTGATGTTCTCTTTTGAACTTGGTATGACCATGTCATTGTTATGAATTGTAATGTAAATTTCATTTACTGGTGGATTAATCACCTGTTTATCCGCCGTCTCATTTCACCGAGATTACACCTGTCGTTTTCAGGGTTATACACCAGAGTATGCCATTTGCCCCGCCCACATGTGGCCGCTCATCACTACTACAGCTTTAGCTGTGATATCAGTGACTTCCTGATAAACTTGTAGCTACTACTACTACAGTTTCTTCTACTACTACTTTACAATATTTCTACTTCTATTACTATTTCTACTACTACTACTACTACTAACAATAATTACAATAACAACAAATAATAATAATAGTAATAGTCATCATCATTATGATAATAATTACTAATGACAACAACAGCAAATAAGGTATTATTATTATTATTATTTGTTGTTGTTGTTGTAATATGACCCCAATAAAATTCACCAGACACAAAAATAAAACAGTATATCTAAAAACCTGGTCTGGATCTGGTCTTTGGTCTGGTCCTTTATTCCTCCTCCCTCAGAGACCTGGGTTAATAATGAACAATGATTCAGCTCCTACTCTGAGCTCCTCAGATTCTCATCATAAATCATTAATCCAGAGTCTAAGAGCGTGTCAGTCAGACCACATCCATCCATCACGGTCCTGCAGAGTCCTGCAGAGTCCCAGCTCACATGTAAATCCAGCAGATGAAAAGTCTGACCAAAGCTGACTTTGAAACTCAGCCTGTGAAGGATCTGTTGGGCCACACAGTGGAGGTGGTGTTTTACAGCTAGGTCAGTGGTTCAATCCCCACCTTTGACTGCTGGTCTTTCTATGTGAAGTCCTCCCGTTCCCCCTGTCTGTGAGTGCGAATAGATGTTTGTCTCTATGCAGAAAATGGATGGACAACTGTCCAGGATCTGACCCCGACCTCACCTGATGACTGCTGGGATTGACTCCAGCTCCCCCGGCAGCTCTTGAATTCAGAGTTAGATGATGGATGGATGAATGGATGAAACATCTGAACAATGTCAGTCACATCCCATTCATTAGAAATCCCACATCAGTTTCTTCTCCACTCAGACGCTGTGACGACCTGCAGCTCGGTACAGGTGTAGAATCGTCTTCACACAGTGTGTAGACACAATGACCTGTGTGTGAGTGTGTGTGTGTGTGTGTGGGGGGGGGGTGCACTGCAGTTGTATGCATGGCTACAGCAGATACTGTAGGTGAATGTCCTGCAGACAGTCTTCAGTAATTCATGACTTTGATGGACCTGTTGTCTCTGTGCTGACCTCCATGCCCAGTCCTCATAGATCAGTACTCTTGTAGATCAGGACTTTGGTAGACCAGGACTTTGATGGACCTGCTGTCACTACAGCCCATGCATTTGTATGGTTTTTTTCACTGTGGCCTCAGGATGCAGTGAGCAGTGGCCTCCTGACCTTTGAGCCCCTGCTGCTTGGTCTTTGGGCCTCAGTTGGAGACCATGTCCAGGTCTCAGTTATTGGTCTTCAGCTTAAGACTCTGTCCAGGCCTTAGTCTTTGGTCCTCAGCTGGAAACCATGTCCAGGTCTTTCTTCATTCTCTGTTAAACACACAATTTAACCGTGTTCTCCCTGCAGCTTCTTCTCTGTCTCCACCCGCTCCACCTCTGAGTCCAGGGTCAAATTAGGTTAAACCCTGGACCTCTTTAGACCTCCTTAGTGAATCTTCATCATGGTGTACAACTGTTTTAGTGAAGATGTTTGATTCAGTTAATGAACTGAATTGTTTTATTTAGAAAAGTGTATTTTGCATTAGTTATAAAACACATGTTTATCAAAGAAAATGATCTTTACCTGCTTAAATGTGTGTTTGGTGAAACTTTTAATAATTATTGTTTTTTTTTTATTTCACTATTATTATTGTGATTTTGTTTGTTTGTCTTCCCCAACTCATACTTCTGTGCCCTAAAAAAGATTTTTGATTTAAATCCATATGTAAACCACCATCCTGACTGAGGTCGACGCAAACTGAACCCTTTGTGTTTCTGATGGAGTTTGTGTTGAAGCTTCTTCCACGGCCTGAAGTGAATGTGATGTTTAGTGTCTAACAGATGCTAATGAAGCTGCTGGTGTTTCCACAAAGTTTCAGCTTCTTTTTACACTGAAATAAGACGTGCTGTCAGATCTTCAGAGGCTTCCTGCGTCCCAGAATCAAAGAGCTCATTCACAAGCAAATAGAGCAACATCAGTGGATTACAGGCTTCATTACAAGGCCTTCCCAGCAGGAGGCCACGGGTCACAGGTCAACACAGGCAGGAGGCCATGTGACCACACCCCAGTGCAATCTCAGTTCACCAACAAGTCACACACAAACAAATGACTGAGCAAATGTGAAGATACAACTGAGGGAAATCAGTGATTTTACTTTCTGCTGCTGTCTCCATCTGCTGACCTAAATGGGATTTGTGACTTCACTGTTGAAATCATTTGTTCATTTTTAACTGTTACAGTGTAACCGTGCACTAGAGCATCAGTAGCTCTGGTGTCTGTGAACTAAAATCACTGATTTTCTCTATGGACTTTGGTGTGGCAGAGTGAGTGACGGTCAAATTAAGGATGTGAATTCCATTGTTATGTTTTTCAGTGAGGAGCAGAACATTCCTGAGCTCTCCCCTTATTTCCTAATTGAAGGAACTGGGAAATGAAACAAAGTGACCAAAAATGATCACACATGTCTGTCAGTTGTTTTAGATTAAACACTAAACTGAACCGAGAAATGTCAGCAGCAACATTCCACAGTTGCTGATGATTCCTCTTTTATCAGGTTTCTAAACGTATTTTTAATGTAATGTTTGTTTTTGTCTAAAACAAAACAACAAACCATTCAGGAGACAAAAATCTTTACTTGAAATATCACTATATTTTCTCCCAAAGTATAAATAATGATTTTTTTTGATTGATTACAATTTTTTACAAAAATAATACATTAGTGGAACAAAATCAGCTGAGCGTGCATCTGATCACATCACCAAAATGTGCACAGAGAGTCACAGCAACACAACAACGACAACCATACAAATAATAATAATAATAATAATAATGACCTAATGTTGAAGAGGAGACGAGGACCAGCTCCACTGAGGATGAAGATGTGTGAAAGTGAAAAATGTTTCTGTCTCTGATTGGACCTGAAGTCAAACAAACAAACACTTGAATGTCGTTCCCTGAAGATGGTGAATCCTGGATCAACATAGTCAACGTTTGCATCAGGTTTTTCTGCCTGAACACGCCCTCCTCCTCATGATGTCAGCACCTGGACTCTGGAATCTGCCTCAGATTTCCATCGAAGCCGTTGTCAACCATAACCGATTCTACCTGATCAGATTGAATCCCTGAGAATTCTCAGATTCCTGTTCAAATCTGTCACATGTCTTCAGGATCTGTAGGATCCCTGAGATTCTGGTTAGATCTAGTCTGTGATGTCAACAGGTCTGTTAGAGCAGAGTCAATCTGGGAACTGATCAGAACTGTGATGTAACAGAATCCTGTTTGGATTCCTGGTTAAATCTACAAGACTCTCGATTCATGATTGTCTGTCTGTCTGTCAGAATCCTCATCTGATTCATGATTGTCTGTCTGTCTGTCTGTCAGAATCCTCATCAGGTCAAATATAATAGAATTTTACCAATCTACTAAAGAGTTGGTTCTGAAATGGGTTCCTGTTCCATGTGTGATCTGTGAGATTCCTGCTCCCTGTCTGATCTGAGTGGCTGCTCTCACAGCCCTGCTCCAGGCTGCTTCCATCATCATTTCTCAGTAGGAGTTATGAATAATATTTGTCCTGCTCTTTCCTCTCATTCTGACAGGACATGGAGGAGAACCAGGAAAAGGACAGGGAGCAGCGGCAGGAGGAGGAGGAGGAGGAGGAGGAGGAGGAAGAGAGGAGTCCCATTCCTGAAATTCACCTGAAACTATGAGCAAACAAAAGCTGCAGGTTTCCACGGTGAAGAAGAGAAAAGCTGATTGTCTGAGACACAGAGTGACTCCTCCTTTCTCTTCTCCTCTGCCTCCTCCTCCTCCTCTTTTTTCTTCTCCTGACATTGACAGATTCCCCTGTTTTCATGTTCTTCTCTTTTCTCCACGTGGGCTCCATGAACTCTGTTTCTGCAGGTCCATCTTCTGCCTGACACAGTAGCCCAGACCACGGCCCAACACTGGACAGATATTCCAGGGCAGAATCACTGAGGGCTTAAATGTTGGAACCTGGGCCACATTTTCAGACAAAACCTGAGACGCCCACAGAACCAAACCAAGTCTGGTCATATTGAGATTAACCACAGTCCTAAAACAGTACATGAACTAGTCTGGGCCAGATGACAGCAGACAGTGGGCCACATCCACGTGTACTAGAAGAGTCAGGCTGTCCTCTGACCACTAGAGGGAGCAAAACAAACTTTCTGATTCCTGATCCTGATTGGCTGATCAGGTACGTGCAGGTGAACCTAATGAAGTAGCAGGAGTAGTTGTGTGTTTGTGGAGTGGTGTGTAGAAGGAAAAGGATTGTCAGCAGTTTGTTAAATCACAGTGAGTATAAAAGTAGTAGCTGAGTGTGAAATAAAGCAGTGGAAGACTCCTTTGAAACCCTGTGGATTTGATTGTCTCTCTCTCTCTCTCTCTCTCTCTTTTTGCTCGTTCTTTCTATCTCTCTCACACACATACAAACACACACACACGTGTGTGTTTCTTCAGTTTTTTACGTTTTGTTCAGCATATAAAAAAAGTGTTTGTCTGTTTTTGTTTAGGTTGAAAAAGTAAAAAAAGTTTGATTGTTTGTTTTTAAAGAAAATCATTGGTCCTTGTTGATCATGTGACTGACAGAAGAGTCAGCTGATTCTCGCCTCAGTCCTGACCCTCTGCTGATCTTCATCCCTCTCTTCTGTTTGTCATCTCTCTCATGGTCCAATGCGTCATCTCTAGGTGACTAAGGCGTTGTCATGGTGACGATCCGTGAGAGGACGAGTGATGCTGCGGTTGCTCGGCAGCGAGGAAGAGTAGGACGTTCTCACCAGGCCTGAAGAGGACACTGAAGACAAGGAAGAGGACAGATGAAGGTCAGAGTGTTTCTGGTGAACAGCTGAGGTTCAAACACAGTAAGAAAGAATATAACACAAACACCCAGGGCTCCATCCAAACTGTTGTCTAAGGTCTCCCTGTTGGCCACGCCCCCTATACGTTCAACCCCCAGACTGAGTTTGTCTCCACCCAGGTCTGAACCTGTCAAGGTCTGAGCTTTAAATCAAAGCTTCTGACAAAACTTCAAAAATAAAGTCTCAGGTCCGAGACCTTCTGGACTTGGACCTGGACTTTTAGGGATCCAGCACAGATCAACTCCAGAAACCAAACCAGACCAAGTCCAGACCTTAGAGACCAGGACTTTTGAGGACAACCAGGGAGACAAAGGTGAAACCTTCAGGGACCTGGAGACTTTGATCCATGGATTCAAAGTGAGAATAAGGACTGATAAGACCAGAACCAGGAAAACCTCACTGAAGCAGAACAGACTAAGGCTTAATTCTGTGTGTGTGTGTGTGTGTGTGTGTGTTGAGTCACCTGATCAAATACACTCCACATCCTTCTCCTCAACAACCTCACATCCATTCACACTCCAAACTAAAAACTCCAGGGTGGGGTCAGCTGACCCCGCTCTGACCCCACTGTGACCCTGTGGTCGGCTGATAAAACACTGAACTACAGGTGAGTCACTGTCAGCAGGTGAAGCAGGGAATTGTGGGTAAACAGAGGGTGTTATAAAGACTGAGCCTATGTCCAAATAAAAGTCCTGATAAGAAAATTCCTGACGCAAATAAATCTCTCACAGTCATACACACACACACACACTCTCTCTCTGTCTCTCTCTCTCTCTGTCAATCACACACACACTCTCTCCCTCTCTTTCTGTCTGTCTGTCTCTCTGTCTCCTCTCTCACACACACCTTTTAAGCAGACACTAACAGAAATATTGACTTTCTTTTTAATCTGACGTTCTCCGTCACACTGCAGTCAAAACAAAACCAGGTTCTGCAGCTTTGGAATTTCTAAACTGCTAACATCGAAGGGAAGAATAGTTGGTTCCTGCAGAACCACTACAGCAGGAAGCTCTCTGATCCTCTGTCCCTCTGTCAGCTGTCTCTCTCTCTTTTTTCAGTTTTTCTGTTCTGTTTCTGTCCTTCTACCTTCCAGCAGCAGGTTTTCTACCTGACCATCGGTCTAGAACATTCTCTGACCTTCTGATCCTTGCCGTGGGAAATTGAGCGTGTGAACGTCTTAATTTCAGGCTACAGTGATTTTCACTCAGAGCAGGAAGAAAAAAAGCAATTAGTGAAAAAATCCACTGAACCTAAAGCTGCTCATCTGTTCTAGTCTGATCTGGTCTGATCTGGTCTGGTCTGCTCTGGTCTGGTCTTCGGTGATGCATAAGGCAGAAAAAGTCTTGGGTCATTTCCTGAAGGAGGAAAGGTTGGGGATGAAGGAGCAGCAGACGGATGAGCAGCTGCTCAGGGTCAGAGGAAATCAGAAAATCATGGATGTGTTTGAGGAAGGTGGATGTTAATGAGGATGAGTTGAACGTCAAAGAAGAAGATGAGGAGAAGGTGGAGGAAAAGGAAGATGAAGGAGAAGAAAAAGATGGAGAGGAAGAGGAAGGTGGAGTGTGAAGGTTTAGGATTAGGTTTGGAGGAGAACGGGCAGCAGCTGATCTTCCAACAGAAATCAACATTTATTTGAATAAACCCGTGTTTGTCCACTTAAAGCTCCAGTGTGAAGAAAACCAAAACAAATACCAAACTCCACCTGGAGAAGTTTCACCCCTGATCCTGGAGGCTTCGATGACCTTCACTGACCTTCACTGACCTTTGAAGCTGAAACATCTCACATGGTCTACAGGCAGTAATGGTCTGACCTGCAGCCCTTTGTGTTCTCCTCAAGGCTGAACACCGCAAAGATTCAGAACTCATAGATTAAAACCTGAATGCTACGGACTTTCAGAGTGCAGAAAGTTCCACAGCGAAGACTTCTGCCTGTGTCTTCTAACCACGAGGATGAAGTCAGGAAATGACTTGAAGGATTTGACTTCAACAGACGTTTTGTTCCTGTTGACCAGTCAGTGTTACATATCTCAGTGCTAACATGTCACCAGGCAGCAACTAAAGACAGGTCAAACCTTGACCTCTGACCTCTAACCATCATTATACTACTGCCACCGCTCCATCAGTCTCTCCTCCACCTCTGAGCTCCATCACTCACTTTTAAAATCTTTGTTCTGATATTCTCTCTACTTCCTGTTGTCATCTGACTGTACTTCCTGTTGTCGTCTGACTGTACTTCCTGTTGTCGTCTGACTGTACTGTACTTCCTGTTGTCCTTTGTTCTGATATTCTCTCTACTTCCTGTTGTCATCTGACTGTACTTCCTGTTGTCGTCTGGCCCTAGTTCCTGTTGCTGTCTGATTCTACTTTCAGTTGAGAACTTCCTGTTTTTAACTGACTCTGCTTCCTCTGCCTCAGTCTCTCTTCTTCATTGGCTGTTGTCGACAGCTGTTTATAGTTGGCTCAATCATGGGTTCCCTCTACCTGACTGTGTCCCGATTCAGCTCAGAAAATTCAAAGCTTCAAAGTTCAATGGACAGTGACTGAGCTCAGCTCTGTTCTCCTCACACACATTTTTGGACCAACTGACCTTGAAGACTGTCACCAACTGGAGCAGACTCTCACCCACTGGGGATTGTGGGTAAAAAACAATCCTGCAGTGTGTCCTTCAGACTGGACCATCAAACGGGCTAACCCCGTGAAAACCTGTGTGGTCCAGACCCAGGTTCTGAACCTGTGTTCCACACTGGAGCTTTAATGTGACTGATTTGTGCAGTTACTGATTTTCACTGTGAGACTGAACTGATAAAGACTTTTACCCAGGAGAGACCCCCGAGCTGCACCATCTTGTTCACAGCAGCGTCCTGATGTGACAAAGATGAGATCAAAGACACACAATGTCATCAAACACACACTTGATTGACTGACCTGTCAGTGTCTGTGTGTGTGTGTGTGTGTGTGAGGGAGATATTGAACAACACTTTCTGACTGTGATGTCACTGTGATGTCCTAACTCACCGTCTTGCTGGAGGACATGGAGCTGAGTGTACTGATGCTGTTGGTGTCCGTCACCACCATGGCCGAGGAGAACCGTGACGGGTGGGAATATTGTGGAGGCTCCTGCTTGTGAGGATACACTGGAACACACACAAATATATATACATATATATTATTAAAAATCCGAATACACAAAAAAGTTTAGTGAGCAACAGACAACAAAAGGCATCAAAACTGTAAACGTTGTGGTTGAGGTGCACGGAGACACAGAGAGTAACTGGCACACTGCTGCCTCCTGTGGTCAGTAAATGTCACTGGTCAAGTCTGGTGGATTTTAACTTAACTTAAATATCCTCCTAATAAACTCGTTTGCAGTCAGTGTTTATATTACCAATACAAAGTAAAGCAGGTTGGTCACACCGAGCAGCAGTTCATGTGTGTGTGTGTGTGTGTCACACCGAGCAGCAGTTCATGTGTGTGTGTGTGTCACACCGAGCAGCAGTTTATGTGTGTGTGTGTGTCACACCGAGCAGCAGTTCATGTGTGTGTGTGTGTCACACCGAGCAGCAGTTTATGTGTGTGTGTGTGTCACACCGAGCAGCAGTTTATGTGTGTGTGTGTGTCACACCGAGCAGCAGTTCATGTGTGTGTGTGTGTCACACCGAGCAGCAGTTTATGTGTGTGTGTGTGTCACACCGAGCAGCAGTTTATGTGTGTGTGTGTGTCACACCGAGCAGCAGTTTATGTGTGTGTGTGTGTGAGTGTGTTACTAACTGTGCGAGTGTGTGACTGCAGCCATGAAAGGTTGCTGGCTCATGTGACCCGGCGAATGCTGCATCAGGCTCTGTTGGTGTGGACTGTGGAGCTGCTGTGAGAACTGGACCGGCTGCAGCGCCGCCAGACTTCCTGCCACGCTGTTAATGACCGGAACACTCTGTGACTGTGACGTATTCAAACCTGGAAATAAAAAACAGCAGGAGTTCAACACTTGTGTGTCCACAATGTGGGCCACTAGATGGCCATGTGGTCCACATGAGCAGAACTCACTCTGAGCGATGGCCATGACTCCAGAAAGAGGCATGATGAGGTTCTGGGTCTGCTGATGACCGTGGTGAGAACTGTGGATGTTGGTCAGAGTGCTGACTGGAGGAAGTCCACCACCTGATCCTGAAATCTGCAGACAAACAAACACAGGAGAACTTGAACAGCAGTCTGGATCTCCATCTTCATTGTAGGGCTGAGCTCATGCATCATCTCCCCGTCATGTGTGAGTGGAAGTTCTTCTTCACTCTTCACTTCATCAAATGATTTTTTTCTTGTTTCCTGTTTTATTTTGAAGTGTAGTTTTCATGTTTAAATCTCATCTGTTTCACTTCCTTCAGGTTCTGTCTGTTTCTGATGTTTTAAATCAGTTCTTATCTTTGGTTTCTTACTCTTCAGCTCCATTGTTTAACCCTGTATTTTAACAAACACTTTTGGTTTGGATCCAGATGTTGAATGACCTTTGACATTTATCCTAAACAAGAGACTACATTTTATAGGCAAGGTAGAGAATAGCTTGTCCTGGTCCTGGTCTAGGTCTAAGTACTGTCCAGGTCTAGGTCCAGGTCCTGATGTGTCAACTCACCATTTTGCTGTCAGGAGAGAGTAGAGAGTGGCCGTGGTCCAGCGCTCCAGGAGAAACCTGCTGAAGAACAGTTTGACTGCTGCTACTGGAGGAGGACGAGGCCATCACGTTGCTGCCGTGGTGACCGATGGCCGAAGAGGAAGTGACCTCAGCCTGACTGTAACGCACTGAGGACCAAGGAGTGGGGGAGACAGACACAGGTGGTTGGTTAGAATTTTTTAATATAAAATAATAAAAAAACTCCCATGTTTTAGGGTTCTGATTAGATTAACTGTAGGGGGCGCTGATGTAAACATGTCACCATGTGCTCAGTGACCAAGTGTTTAAGTCCCTGTTACACCTCTTTAACCTGTGACAGTCTGATCAAAAAGAGACAAAGACTAAATGTGGTTTGACGTAAGCTTCAATCAAACCAGAGGAGCAGGGTCAGTGGTGGCTCAACTCCTGGTTCTTCTTCTCCATGTTGGACTCAGCTGCTCTTTGCCTCAGACAGAGTAAACAACCTGGGTCTGATATCAGCTCAGCCAAGGACGTTCTCTGAGCTCATGTTCTCACACACCACCCAACAGGAGTGTGGCTCTGCTGTGACTCGTGTCCATACAACACTCAGGTACACACACACACACACACACACACACACACACACACACATCTACAGCTCCTCAATCTTGTTTTTCAGAAATGTTCTTCACTTATTAAAAAATAAATTATCCGACACACAAACATCTCTGACTAAAGTCAAACTTTCAAAACCTTCGAGGGACGAGAGTAAAGCTCTTCTTCTTTATCCAGGTCCAGAGCTGTTGTTGTCAGAGAAAGACCTCGCCCTCACAAACATCCCATAATCAGCCCAGTGTTTGCCCATGTGGCTCTGATACCAACAGAACAAATATTACACTATTCCAGAGGGCGCCATGTCACACACATTCTTTACCTTTAAACCCCGCCCCCTGACAGTACTCTCCACCCTGGGCCTAGAGAGACAGACATTGTTTGCTCTTGGACCCCGGACCTCGGACCCTGACCCAGAACCAGAACCTCAGCTCATTGATTTCCTGTCAGAGCAGGAAGCTACAGCAGGAAGTGTGAGCAGATTTTTCTCCTCAGGCGTCATTGAAACGCAAACAGATTTGGATCGATGGTTCAAAACCTTTGACAGGCCTGGGAGTGAAAACATCCACCAGCAGGGGGAGCAGTGTCTGAGTGAAATCAAACCATATGCTGATTAATCATTCAGATCAGGGACAATGTAAAATCATGTCCTGTCACTGACACACGACAGACTCACACCAGGGCAGTAAGTAGGAGAAACAGCTGAGGAGCACTTCTGATGGTGGACTAATCGTGAGTAACTCTTCAGGACCATATATCTCCTCAGGATGACCCACCTCCTGGAGATGCTCCTCTAAAGATGATGGACCTTCAGGCTTCAGCCTGTCTCTGGACCACTGCTTGTAAACTGAGTTTGAGGACCATAAAACTGCTGCTTCTGGACTCATTATCTTCATCAGTACACAATGAAGCAGGGACATAAAGCAGGTCGTTGTCTGTGAGACTTGTCTTTAGTCTTTCTTACAGCTATGACACAGACACAGCATTTGACTTGTCTGTGTTTGTATGGAGAAGGTCTCCTGTTCTAACAGTGACCAGTGTTGGTGTGGTTTTTCTTTAAGCCTGGGGTGATTTTCTTTTTTGCAGCATCTGCTGAGGCGTCACCACAGGATCTGGTCTGCTTCTTCTGACTCTGCTAATTTTCTAACATGCAGAACGTCACAGCTGGTTTGAAGCCCAGAGTCTGTCCCTGGTGGAGGGGGGTGGAACAGAAGTAGTGGAGAAGTTTGTCAACTGTGGCACAAAAAAGAATGGATTTCTTCACTGTAGTTCAGTTGACTGCACTAAAGTCCATTTAACTTCATTAAAGTTCACTTCAGAATAGTCCAGTTCACTTTAGAAAAGTCCAATTAACTTGAACTTTTTTGCTCACATTTTATACTGTCTTGTAGTTTCATTGTCCAGTGGAGACGTACAGATCAACAGACTGAGACGGAGCCAATAAAAACTCCCCGAGTGCTGCGACCCGGCCCTGACCTCCGGAGCTGTGTATGTGAGTGCATGTGTGTGTGTGTGTGTACATGGGTACGTGTGTTTTCTACAGAAGAAGACCCTCGTCAGTTCTGTCTGGACAGAAGAGATGGGGTCTTCAGCGGACAGCTCCTGCTGCTCCCAGTCTGGAACAAGCTCGGAATCTTTACTGAGTCCCATAAAGGTGCAGGAGCTGCTGCTCCTCCTCCTAGTCCTACTCCTTCTCCTCCTCTGCCTCCTTTCGGCAGCACAGATAAATGAACCTCCCTTACAGTCACTACACCCTTCTGACACAGGCAGGACAATGGGCCCCCCCGCTGATCCAAAGGAGGCCCTTATCAAAGGAGCCAGGAGAGCCTTTAGCAGCACGGGGGCCGTAATTGTCCATTAAGCACGCATAATACAGGCCGTGGCCCAGCAACGCAATGAGACGCCCCGCCGGGCCATTATTGTCCGGCCGCTGGGCGACACTGAAAACCAGCTGATCTCGACGGCAGGCAAGCTTGTAAGCCGCGACGTTGAGGGGGGATTAGAGGTTGGGTATCACTGACCACTGTGAGGTCACTGTCTGGTCAGGTGATCTGAGCTGAACAACAACCTGACAGCAGGTCCTCTCTGTCCTGTCCCTCACCAAACCTCATAGAGAAAACCGGTGATTTTCTCTCTCAGAGACTCAGCAGTTCTCGATCCACTGCTGCTCCATCACCAAGTTCTAATGTGTTATTCTGTCACTTCACTGTTTAAAAAACTCTCAACTGTTGAGATTGACCTTTGTGACACAAATTGAGCAGAGGAGGCAGCAGTGGACCAGAAGCTGCTGTGTCTCTGTGTACTTAATAACAGGGTTTTTCTGTGGAGATTTGTAGGTAAAGAAATCTATAAAATAATTTAAAAAAAATCTATAAATAATATAAAGTCTGAATTGAGTCACGTCTGTGATATTCACATTATCTGCTGACAGCTTTATCTCACAGGTAGACCTTTTCTGCCAGGAACCTGAAGACTCGCCCAGACCAAAGTCCAGAGAAAAACAGGTCACAACAAATGGCACAAACTGAAGGTCCACATTCAGTACCAGTTCATCCAAAGGTAAAAGAGTCGGCAAAGACAAACAGTTCTGTTGAAACAATAAAGCTGAGAGTCAGGGACTCGGCAGTTTTTACACAGGGTGAGGGGGGTGAGGGGGTGAGGGGGATGAGGAGGGTGAAAGCCTGCCCCTCTCTCTGAGAGTGGTTTGTGCAGCAGGTAAAAACTCAGTCAACACTCATCAGAGCAAATGCAAACAGCAGCTGAAGGTGAAACAGTCAACAACCGTCAGCCAGGGTCATTAGTTACTGGCTCTGGTCCAGGCTCTGGTCCAGGCTCTGGTCCAGGCTCTGGTCCAGGCTCTGGTCCAGGCTCTGGTCCAGGCTCTGGTCCAGGCCCTGGGCCAGGTGAAGTGGACCTGAGACCCGACCCCTCCCTGAACCCTCTTCGTCTTTGGAGTGGAGATTACAGCAGGTCCAACAATGATGATTGTTCTACTCTGTTTCCAAACATCAGAATAACAATGGCATTTGTTCACCCACTCACTCACTCTCCCACTCACTCACTCATGCTTGTCGATCACTCATCCTCTCTCTCTCACCCTCTGATCACATCAGACTCCTCCACCCACACCTCCACTCACTGTCATGTGACTTTTTAACAGCCTTTCCCCTGAATCAAAGCGGACAGATGTTGAACTTTCCTCAGAAAACACCAAATAAAATATTTCCTGTTCGCTGACTGTTTGATTATTTCGTCTCTTTTCCTCCTCAGGGTTTTTGAGGTGTGGCTGTGGGAGGTTCTGACACAAAGTCAACAGTGACGCTGCCGTTTCCATGGACCTGGCTGAGAGCTGTGGAGCAACACTGATCCCACTGGAGATAAGAAAGTTCCTCAGGTGTCTCCAGAACCAGTCTGTCCCACACTCAGACAGTATGTGTGTGTGTGTGTGTGTGTGTGTGTGTGCGTGCGCGTGTGTCTTACTGGGTGGTGAAGCGCTGTTCTGAGGATGATGCGGTGAACTGTGTGACATCATAGGGTTGATGGCGTGCGTTGGCCCAGAGATGGCGTCCATGGCCAGTTTCTGCCTGAACGCTTCCTCTTTACGGCGGTTAGCGAACCAGTTGTAGACCCGGACCTCGGTGACCAAGTTAGAACCCAGACCCTGAGCTTTGGACGGGGAAACCCCTCTCTGCAGACACTCGGCTCTGTGGGAAAAAGAATGTGATCAGAGATCAGAACAGATTTCTTCTATTTTCTCTGTGTCATGATTGGTGGTTCTGGTTATCATTCTGTTCTCTGTGTCTTGATTGGTGGTTCTGGTTATCATTCTGTGATATTTTCATCTTTTGAAACAACACTTGTTCTGTTGCTCTGTCACTGTTACCTGTTGCACTCTTCCACCAGACTCTCACGCTCCTCTTTGCTGGGGTTTTTCTGCCGTTCGTACGCCTGGTACAGGATCTGCTGCGACGCCGGGCCCCACTTGAAACGGTTACGTCTGAGTTTTTTACACAGAGGTTCTGACCCGACGTCGTCACCGGACTGACTCATGTTCTGAGCTGTAGGGTTGTATTCTGGGTAAAAGTATACAGGGTCCTGGTTCCCTTTGTCCACCATATGTCCAGTAGAACCATGAGCTGCTGCATTGAACTCTAGAGGAAAAAAGAACAAAAAAAAAAACAAAACAGGAATTGTTTAAAAAAAACTTTGTCTTCATCTAAAATAACTTTTACATCTGAGTTATTTTCAGGGCTAATCTGTTTATATTTTGGGCTAATGCTAATTCTTTACGTTTTTATTTTTTAAAGCTCAGAAAGTATATTTATTTTTATTCGTCTTGTTTGGACTCAATCATTTTGGACATCAATCTGTTCACTTTAGTCTTCAGTCTTGTTTTTTTAATCACAAAGAGTGTGTGTTCATGAAGTTGAACCTGTAAAGTTGAACTTTGAATGACGTCAACAAAGAGTTCACTCTGGTTTTTCTGTTTCTACAGATGATGAAGATGAAGACAGTCAACTTACGTCGGAGGATTTCCCGCTGCTTGCGGACGTACCAGGTGTAGAGTGCCGCCCTCTTCTGGGTCTTCATGGGCGTGCCCTTGTTGAGGTGCTGGGACAGATGGGACTGGTTCAGACCCGTGATGTCCACCACCTCCCTCTGAGGGATGTTGTGCTGCTGCATGTAACCTTTGATCATCCGGGCCGCTCGCCACGGGTCCTCACTGGGAGAAGAACACACACAGGTATAAACCAACAGCACAATCAAGCACACACACACACACACACACACACAGTTACATGATAAAGAAAAAAAACAGAAACTGGTCTGTGAAACCAGAAGAAGACAGAAGTCCCTGTAGTTCTCTGAAGACCTGAGTCTGGGTTTAATTCATTTCAACTTTGTTTCCTTGTTAAAACCGTCCTCTCTCTGTTCAACATCCACTCCAGAAGAGTGTGGACAGGGTCAGAGTCGCAGTGAAAAGGTCAAACAAGTGAACGTGACCTTTGTTAATTAGCAGCTGAGCTGCCGACAGGTTTGGGTCAAAAAGATCTAAATATCTGAGGAAAAGTCTGGACGTTTTTGGGACAAATTCAACTCAAATTGTCAAATACAAACAAAACACTTCAGTTCTGCCAACACCTGAAGGTCAAACACCACCTGGAAATGTGTGTGTGTGTGTGGGGGGGGGGGGGGGGGGTTCATACAAATTAAAAAACATGTCCTTATAAACAATATGAATCTGTTTACACAACTATATTTATTTTGTATTTTTTTCATACATTTAATTTAATATATTTTACTTTACTTTTCACTTCACGCAAAAACAGTTAAGAATTTTAAGAAGAAATGACCAGGACTTAAAAAATGTTTAAAATATTTAAAGACATTTTTTGTTTTAAAATTCAACCAATTACAAATCCGAAAAACTGTGTTTTTTTTCTTCTGTTTTTTGTTTTTTAGAGACGTGAATTTAAAGGCCGTAAATCAATTTAACCCAGTGACCAGCTTGAATGGATCAGGATTTTAAAAGCTGGAGTTTTGGATCGAAACACGCGCTGAAGGAAAAATAAAAACATACAGAAGGCTGGAGAGAGAAAAAAAACTGATTAATTCTTTAGAAATTTCATCAGAAATATTTTTGCTTTTTTCAGAGGCAGAACGGCAGAACGGTGACATGAGTTTATTCTGACGGAAAGTTCACCCGACACAGATGACAGGTAACCTACACACACACACATACACACACACACACACACACACACACACGTGTGAATTCTAAAGAAGATTTTCTTAAATTGCGCGGTTTTTGTGTTAATGTTTAAACATTTTGGACAATCAGTAACCCGAATGTCATTCAGTTTAATCTGAGCGGGATGATAATCCAGACTAATGCTGCGGCTGCCGTGTGTTTTATGTCGATCATTATGGGAAAAAAATTAATAACAACACAAACACACGTGGCTGCAGTTTACACAACACCGTTCCATTTACACACACACACACCGTATTTGTCAGTCATTTTTTTGTGTCAAACTGGTGTCAAGATAACGGCCTTGACCTGTATATGATTATATAATGATCAGACATGGATTATTATTATTATTATTATTATTATTGTGTTGTTGTTGTTGTTATAAAAATGTTTCATAATAATTATTCTTTTTGACTCTGTTAAAACATTTAATAATAATAATAACGTCATGACTGTTTCCTGTCGACCAACTGTTTATCAACGGCGGTTTATTTGCTCATTGATCTGCTTTAGTGAATATGTTCCGTCAGACTCACTTTGTAAAGCTGGCGCGTGCGTGTACGTTCGCGTGTGTGTCGGTGAAAAGGGGTGAAAGTTTCTCCCCCTTGTGTTTATCGGTTCATATTTTTGTGTCCTTCTTAATAATAATGGCTGCGACTTCGACCAGGTTTCATTTGGTTTCATTTCTTCCATTAATTTTCCAAAACAAATGTAAAGCAAATCTAGTCTGACGTCAGGAGGCTCCACACACGGCCCGCGGCCCGCTGGGAGACTGTTGTTGTTGTTGTTGTTAAAACCTTTACCTTTTAGTTTGAATTATGATCAGTTCAAATGAGCCTTTGGTTGTTTGTTTTGTTCCGTTGTTTTTTAACGGACACGAATTTAGAGAATGAAAATGAAAGGTTGTTTTAAACGGGATCACTGGTTCACACCGCGTTAACAACTAATGGACGACTGTCGAACAAAAAGGATGATTTATTGATTCACACATTTGTTTTTTATTTGTCACCAAATATTTTTGATAAATAAATATGTGTTTATATGTGGTATTTATAACTGACATGAAATTAAAAATATTTGGATTAAAAACACACACACAACACATTCAAATATATATGATTTAAATCGTATATTATAGATTTTTTTTTTACTTCTTTAGAAAATGAGAATAAGTCAGAATTTAAGACAAAAATGACTTTACTTCATTCTTTAACGGGAAAGTTGAAATAAATCCTGTCCGACTTTTCACCACACAACGATCACGTGAAACTGACGATTTAATCCAATCAAACTAAAACAAAATACACGTTGACGCACGCGCGACCTGTGTAGTATTTTTGTATTTTAATTATATATATATATATGTATATAATATTAAACGCTTTTTTAAATTCACGCACACATATTGGAGATTTTAAATGTAAAATGTTTCTTTTCGGTGTAGACTGTATAAAGTTTTGGTTGTTTTTTTTTTTTGTTTTGTTTTTTTTCAAAAAGTAACTCACGCCAACATCCTGTCCACCTCCGCCCGCTGCTCCTGCGCCTCCTCGGTGTTCAGGCTCTGCAGCTCCTTCAGGATCGGCGGAGTGTCGAAGTCGTCTCCGTCCTCGGAACCTTCGTCTCCGGACAGTTTGGATTTCCCGTGTCCGTTGGTGAGAGTGTGAAACACGGGTTTGGAGTCTGTCTCCTGCGCGCTCATCTTTGCGGCGCTGGACGGAGAAGGAGACACGGACAGAGCCTCCAGTTTGACCCCGAACTGAGGCTGCTGCTGAGGGGCCAGGTTGGGGTCCATGTCGTCCAGGGCCTGAATCAGAACTTCTCTGCTGAGTCCAGAGTCCAGCAGAGCGCTGAGCATCTCCTGCTGCAGGGCCGTCAGTTTGGACACCATGGTGAAGAACATGAAAAAAAAAAAAAAACAAACCACTAGGAGAGTTTTTATACAGACATTTAAACACTGCTGCTGCTGCTGCTGCTGCTGCTGCTGCTCTGCCTGAGGGTGAAGCTGATTCTCATCCATGATCATTTCTACATGAACCACATGCTAATGAGGAGGCGGGGCCTATGCAAATGAGACTAGAGGGAAAAAAAAAAAATAGGGACAGAGTTTTACTGCTGCTGTTATCAGCACTAACCTGCATGGACTTTAGACCCGGCCTTTTTTTTTTTTTTTTTTTTTTTTTAGAAAGGAGAGGGGGGGGGACACAAAACCCCAGCGCCGCGGCGCGCTTCACATCTCTACTCTCTGTCTAAAAGAAGAAGAAAAAAAAAACACTTCAAATCCAGATTCATCTTCAAATGAAGCAGAAAACATTTACCTTAAAAACAGAGGATTTCATTCAAATAAAATAAAACGAAATCAAACTCTTATTCTTGGTTCAGATTCAGATTCGAGTCCAACTCCATTTTTTTTTTTCAGTCTTCTTCATTAAGAGCTGGATGACGTACAGCGCTTTATTTATGTTTATCTTGTGTTGCTACATATGTGTGATATAATAATGGATGCCAGTTATATTATTCCATCTGTACAGACTGTGAAAACCTCATTCTGGAAGCTTCCAATTTAAAGGAATAGTTCAACCTTCTTTAGTCAAACTTCCGTCAACGTTGAGGACGACCTTCTTTGACCCTTACGTGACCCAGGGACACAATAAAAAAAAAAGCGTCGTCAACTTTATTCCTTTAACGACTCAAACACAAACAGGTTTATCTGATTTGACTCTTTTGCAGAAAATAATAGCGCCGTTAGGTTTCAGTTCAGGCAGGAGTTAAACAAACCCCAGGTTAATCTGCGAGGACCCTAAAGACTGACCTGGAATAAAAAACTGGACTCAATACGTTTTCAATGACGTCTCAGTTCAGAACCCACAGGTGGGAATCAACAGGAGCTCATCTCCAATCTGTTCTGTCTGATTTTTTGATCCTGGCTGAGATGTTTTATCTTCAGTCTCCGTCTGCGGCGCTGGAGTTTTGTCAGATTTAAAGGTGCAGTCTGTAAAAAGAGCTGGAGTTCAGACAGTGGAGTCGATGCTTTCACTGGACCTTGTCCAGGTTGGCTCTGTCCAAACCAAGACCAGCTTCTTGGTCCTGATCTCACCTGTCTCTGTTTTAGTTAGTTGTTGTTGTTTTGTTTTCTTTTTTTTTAAACTCTTTTGTTCAAATTGAAAATAACGTGATTGTGAGTGGAGACAGCAGAGCAGAGCAGCCAGGACTGTTGTGTAATTGTGGGTCAGTCTCTGTGGGATGTTTGTTCTTCTGTTCTGAGTCACAATGTTCAAGCTCTGGTTCTGCAGCAGCCGTTAATGTGAGTGGTGCGTGCTGTTGCATTCATCAGCTGCAGGTTAATGGCTGAGGAAGTGAAGCAGAAAATGGACTGTGGACATGGAGTCAGTCAGAGGAACAGGCAGAAAATCAGTCAGAAAATCAGTCAAACAATGAATTTTGAATTAAACTTCTGGGTCTGTAGATTAAAGGAGATTCTTCCTGCTGTGACCTCAGAGCAGGAAGAGGTGACCTGTCGATGGTGCAGCTGAAGGTCCAGCTGAACCTGGATCTGAAGTTGATGCTCTGGTGTCCCACTGGAACCTGAACCTCACACAGTCACAGCCTGAAGACTTTTTTAATTCACTTCCCAAATGTCATGGTGTTTGAACAGAGGAGGTTGTAGAAGAAGAAGGAGCGGTCATCAGAGGTCCACAGAGGTCAACACAACACAAGAGAGAATTCTTAAACAGCTCACAATCTTTCTGTATTTGTGGGCAAATCGTTAGCTTTCATCTCAGCTAAAAAATAGCTGTTGGTGCCAAAAAATAGATTTTCAGACCAACCTTAAACGACTTCAATCAAGTAGTGACTTATTTTTTTATCTTCACACATACAGTACCGTTAAAAGACCATTTTAAATCTTTGACTCTTTTTTTCTTTCGTTTTCTTTTCTTTTCTTTTCTTGCAGTAGTGTTAAGCTTTAATCTCACTGCTGCTGTTTCTAATGTTTTGGCTGCAGATGTTGCTCAACTTTGTGTGTGTGAAGTGTAACAGAGATCATGATCCTGGTTCTGCTTCACTGCTCACACTTTCACAACAAGCTCATCCTCTCTGCTGCTGCTGGTTTTTAATTTTACGTTAATGGATGAAGGATTTTACATCCAGACGTGTCAAAGTCACACACACACACACAGACCAACCACTAAACCAAACACACACACTGTATATTTAAAGATAATGTTAAGGTTTTTATTAATAATCAGCTCTGCAGCTCCAGACTAACATGTGGATGAATTGATGAGAGACTTCATCCACAGAGAACTGATGTTAGTAAACCAATCAGCTCACAGACAGAAAACCAATGATTTTAGCTCTCAGACTAGTTCATACAAAACAATTCATTTGTGGCTTACACTTCAGTGCAGGTGAACAGTTATGAGGAACAGTGTTTATATTTAAATAAAATATTTTATTGATTTAATTTGTAGGTGTAAAGCCATCTTCGAGTGACATGAACTGACTTTGTTCACTGGTTTCACATCACCAGTGAAAAGAGCAGCCCCCCCACCCCCCCCCCCCCACCCCCCACACCCCCAACGTTCCCCTCAGATCTGCNGATTTTTATTATTTTTCTGAAGGATGCAGTAGCAGCTTTATCTCTTCACTCTCTGTAAACTATTTTATTCCTTTTTTCTGACAGTTAATGTTTAACTGAAGTGTGAAGAATCAGCACATTTTCTTTTTTCCCTCATTCACATATCCATGGACCATGATGCAGACAAGTAAAAAAAAAAAAGTAAGGTAGACCAAACCATGTCTGCATTTGTCATATGATAAAATCAAAGGGGTGGCACTTCGGCCCAGAGGTCTCTGTCATTGGTGTCTCTGTCATCACCTCCTGGGCAAGTTCGAATCTCAGTTAGGGCGGTTGGTACCTTCCAGTGGACTCACCACCTGCAGGAAGGTTCAGGGGGGTTGGTACGGTACGGCAGTGTGATTTGGGTGGAGACTGCTGCCCCCGCGACCTGGTAACGGATAAGCGGATGAAAATGGATGGATGGAGAGAAAATCAAAGGGGGAAAGCAAACTATATATTTGGAAATATATGGTTACATATACTTGAAACTTGATAAACAAAACAATACTATGATTGTGGTTCCCTTCTTGAAATAACTCATGAATTGAACATTTTTTGTTTCTTGTATTTTTAGCCAATTCCTTTTTTCATTGTTTGGTTTTCTCAAATATTTTTTCTAATGATCATATATTCACTTGATTTTATTTTTATTGTCTTCAAATGTATTGATTTATTGAATGTATCCTAGGTCTTCTACCTGAATATAATAATGTCTTTATTTTCAAAAAATGTGATTAAATTATTCTGATAAATAAAAATGAATGCCATTACACAGAAAATGATCACTTGACTGTTCGTTCAACTGTCTGTGTGTGTGTGTGCATGTGTGTGTGTGTGTGTGCATGCATGCATGAGTGCTTGGTGTGTGTTGAGGTTTGTGTGTGTGTGTGTGTGTGTGTTAGTTTCATATAGAAACTTTGTCAGTGATTTATTTCATGAGTAAAGAGAAAAGAAGTTCACATTCAGTGAACTGTGACCATTTTCCAACATCAGCTTCACGTCTTCTCAGCTGGCAGTTCAGAAAACTGGATGTGTCACAGACCCACAGTGACCCGGTGGTCTGGCCATACAGCTTGTCTTTCCTTTGGCCCACATTCAGCTGTGAAATGCAGTCCATTATTGAGTGGTCCAGGACCAGGACACCAATCTGGTCTGGTCCAGTCTGAACAACTCAGACCTTTACCTGTCTTCCCTGCTCATGTGCGCCAAACAGGCTTCAATCAGCAGACATTCAAAACCTCTCAGTTATTTGTACTTGAATTTTAAAAAAAACCTAGAGACTGGACTTGGACCCCACCCGGACCTAACATGAAAACCCAGTCTGAGAGATTTCAGGTGTGACTTCAACTTTTCTTTCTTTAGTTCAGTTTCAGCTTCACTCTGGTAAAGACTCACAAAGACTCCTTCGGTCTTTTTTATGACTGTGGCTCAAAATCACATGCCTGAGGAATCTGATCTGAGGAGCAGGTGAAGCCTCTGAACCAGGTGTTACCTTCAGTCCTAACATAAATCTCCTAAAGAACTGTTCAGAGCAGACTGTGATCAAGTCAGGTTGTTCTGGAATCATTTTCGTTGAAAGGCTCCATAGCGGAGGAGCTTTTATAAATGCAGTCCTTGTGATAAGCTGATTACCTTATCCTTGACAGCAGCAACGTTTGAGGCCGTAAAGATCAGGATTATGAGGTGACGGATCATAAAGGGTTTGGCTACAGATAAGAAGGTTTGAGACTTTAAACAACAGCGAGAAGGTTTTTAGTTCTGCTGATAATCAGGTCAAACAAACTTCACTCCACTCCGTTAACCACCTGAACCACCGTCTTGAAATGTATTCACGTTTGTCCTAGGACAAGTGTTCTACCTGCAGAACCACCAGAGTTTGACATTTTTTGAGGTGAGCGTCGCAGCAGTGGGTGTCATAAAAATGCTGCGGCCCATGAAAGACTAGTATATCGACCGTTGACCTGCTCCTCATTCTCTCCTGCAGGATGTTTGCTAAGACTGAGATCGAAGTTAGGGCTCATGACACACACTGATGTTTTTATTGTTAAAAGCTATCTTCAGATATCAATGTATGTGAAGGTGCAGCATCTGTGTCGCTTTATATCTTTGCTATTTTATATATATATATATAATATATATATATATATATATAAGTATATGTCAGCTCCAGTAAAAAACATACCTTCTTAAAACTCGCTGAAATCACTGATTTTCTCTATGGATTTTGGTCTGAGCTAAAATCATTGTTTTCTAAATGGACTTTGGTGAGGACTTTGGAACAATAAGTGCTTTTGTGAAATAAATCACTATAGTTTTAGTATAGAGTTTATTAGTATAGAAATTTCTATAGCAATGAACAGATCATAAAGAAACTTAAACTGTTCCCACAGACTGTTTTCCAGCAAAGAGAGTTTTTATGATGATACAACAAGAACAGAAAAGTGTCTTTATGTTAACATTGCCATCCCAGCAGTCTCAGTGAAATTCCAGCTCTGTAATCTGTCGAATTCCTGGATTAATGAGGCCAGTGGTACAGTTCAGGAGTGAAGCCACACCTGAGTGAAACTCATATACTTCCTGGATTGCAAAGCAACGCCTGGTGGTTGCAGTCCATTCAGAGGAAACCACTAGAACAAACTGCACTGAGGTGCAGCTAAGCAGACCGGGCGGCATCATTTATGAAGCAAATCACCTCTGAGTGTCCAGCAGCAAGGACAAAGGGCAGACTGTGTTTATGCAAAGAGTCTCCAACAAACAGCTACAGGAGCTTCAAACACAAAGATATTCATTATTGTCTTATTTTACTTTCACTAAGAACACATAATGTAGGTATTATTTTTTGCTTTGCAATTTGTTACCGGTACACAGAGAGCACATTATCATTAAATTGTAATTTTAATATTTTCTTTAATTTTTAATTTCTGGAGTGTTGGGGCGGAACGTTTGTGTGGTGTCTCCTTGTTTCCGGGACACCAGGGAAGGGACACGGGCTCCCTATTTCCTGTGTGGTAATCTGTGGGTGAGAGTTGTTGTGTTTGTTTGTTTGTTGTTGTTTTTTTTTTCAAATTTATCCAGGTCAGTAAACTAACACGTCGTCAACACAATAAGATACAAGTCAAACTAAAGTGTGCCCTTGACAAAGGTATTTTCCTGGAAAACTGGTGTCGCGTTTTCCGTTCGGGCACCACTTCGTGCCACTGATTTCAAGGGGGTGAACATGACAAGTTTGTCCTAGAACAGTTTGACAATGAACTTTTTATTTTACCTCTCCTTTTATCTTCTTATCTGGACATTTTGAAACTCTATACTGAATTCCCATACCTTAATATTTTGTTAAATCATAATGACAATTTCAAATTAAATCCTTAAAAAGGAAATAATTTCATCTTCTATCACTACTAGTTAGTTTATTTTTTTATTGCGAGGTTTCAGAGTCCAGCCGTGCATTAACAGTGTTTCTTGTGTGTTTGTCAGACAGGGGAATACCGTTGTGTTCGGTGCAGATAGGAGAAACAGGATTTAAAGGAGGGAAATAAAGAACGATTCATGTCTTTTGAATAGGAAAATAAGACAAGCACTGCCCTCTGCTGGTTGTGACCATAACTACATTTCTTCAGACAAATATTTGACTCCAGAACCCGTACATGTTTTTCTCACCCAGCGATACAAACAACGAAAATGCATAATGCTAGATTACCAAATACAGAAACACAAAATACCAAATACAGATTACCTTACAGAAAAAAAAATCATTTCACAATCCGTTCAGGTCGTTGTCTTTATCGTAATTATCGGAAATTATCGTACTTTCCCTCAGGGAACTGGGGATTAATAAAGTTCTATTTGTCTATCTATCTATTTATTTCAAATTTTCACGACACAACAAACACTGATGTGATTTTAACTCTCACAGAAACTGTTGGTCTCTTGCATAACTTTGCCTTTTTTTCTACCAGAATAATGATATCTCATAATTTTCAATTCTGAATTTTAATCCACCTTTTTCATTTTACTGTTTTTACTTTAATCTCCCAACTGGACATGAATAACGGCACGGGTTTTTTGTCTCCCTTGACCAACAATCTCTAGTTCTCTCTCTGAAACGCCGGTAATATGCAGATAACATTCCTAGATCTGAAGAACTACATACTACAGTATTGAATGTGAGCTGACAAATCAGTTCAAACGTGTCAAGAAAACTTTTAGTTTTCTTTCAAAATAAAAGTCTCGTTTAGGTTAGACGGTTACTTTAATTCAATCACGTAATGACTAAAGCTTTCCCTGTTCCTACCGGTTCGTCATCGTTGACATTTAAAAATATATATATATATTATCACTATTAAAACTTCATTATTGTGTAAACTTTAGACTGGTGAGAAAAGAATATCATATCCTCTTTAACATGTTTGCTTGTTTTATATTTTCACAGTTGACAAAGAAAGATGGCTGCCAACAGTGAAGCAGTTCCTGCTGCTTTTTTTCGTCACCTTCAAACCCAGTCTGGTCTACAAAGGTGAGATGAGGTAAGATGATGAAGCACACACACAAACCGTAGAACACGGAAAACTCTGGTTTTACTGACACTTGACAGAACAATGATTAGACTCATCATCTGTGGAGCCGTTTAAGTCCAGGAACCGGACTGGACTTCAAATAACAACTGGTACACGTGTCTTCTTCTACACACGTACCAGCGGCAGGTGATGGCCTTGGTTCGATGCTTATTGTCGGTTAGGGCTGTTTTACGATGAAGGCACAACCGGAAATACATCATCACTCAGCTGTGTCTGACGGACGTTAGAGCAGCTTCACTAAAATTCTTCACTCCTCTGGAGCCGCTATCTGTGTGCGTGTGCGCGAAACCGCGGCTGTGGCGGCTCCTGCAGAGGAGCAGAACTATCGGGACCATATGGACCAGAACCAGGAACCAGGGTCACATGCAGCTTCAGACCCAGCAGCAGCGGATTCCTTCTCCTCCTCCTCCTGCCGCAGATTCACCAAGAACCTTCTGAAACCTGGAACCGCAGCCGAGGTCCGACGCACGGCCCTGAGCTCAGTCCGACTGTCCACACTGACGGTGAGTCCGATTCTGAAACCTGGACCTGTTCAGGGTCTGGGTCTGGGTCTGGGTCTGGGTCTCAGGGACGGAGGCTGGAGGTGGATGAGAGAGACGCTGCAGATGTACGTCTTCATCTCCAGCTCCATCTTTACATTCTCTGCAGAAATGACATTCACGTTCATCTGTGCGCGCGCGCGCGCGTGTGTCAGCAAGGCACTTCGCAGTCTTTCATGTCTCTGTTGTGGTTCCTGGGTTCCAGATAGCCAATATGATCAGAAAGCAACGTGTCTTAAAAAGCTACAGATGTCAGGGAGGTGGACATGATCAGCAGCTGTTGTAGGAGGTGGAGCAGACAGGTAGGCTTCCTCCTCTACAGGAGAGGGAGCGGGTCCTGGTGTCAGGGGAGAGAGTACCTCAGCAGCGAAGGCTGGTACTGTGTAGAAGGGGACCGAACCTGAGTTCAAATGTAGAAAAAAGAGTTCTGATTAGAGAAGAGTTGAGGGCAGTTGGTGGATGTTGTTAGAAGAAGCCAGAGGGAAGAGAATGGGTGAGGTGGTGTGGGAGACCTGTTGGTGGTGGAGTGATGAAGGTTAAAGGTAGCTGAGAAATAGTCAACGGGAGGAAAGAATAAGTACTGTGCGAGTAAAAGTACCCGAAGCCAACCCTGGTGGAAACAAGTACTTAGGTCAAGAGTTGGACAGAAAATAAGGAGAAGAGCAGTAGGATCAGTGCAGTGATGTCAGAGGTTCAGCTGGTGATGGACACCTGGAGGAGAACTGTGGTCACGGGCTGGTGGGATGTTGTTGTTGTTGTTGTTGTTGTTGTACAAAAGTAGACGAGCAAGTAACTGAGGTAGCACGGCTTGACCCAGTCTGATCCGAGCTTCTTTGCTGAATATATATATATATATATACATATATATGTGTATATATATCTGTGTATACACATGTATATATGTATACACAGTCACACAATAGGAAATGTTTAATGTTTGAATCAAAATTCTAAGTAGAAATCTAAATTCACTTCCAATAACATTGGTATTCCTATGGTATGTCTTGTCAGAGGATTGTATTTACACATACACATACAGTATATTCTTTAAAAAATACATTTATCATTGTGTGTCACATAGACACACAGGATTGTGTAATTTGTGAACCAACGATATATATACACATACTGTATATACTGTATGTAGAATGTGATATATATATATACATACTGTATATACTGTATGTAGAATGAATTTCAAACTGTCAACAGACTTCAATGAAATGACAGTATATGTCATATTTGAATGTAGGCTGATTAAAATGATTCAACATATTCAGAAAGACCATGGACATGCTGTAGAATACAGGAATTCCTCCCAGGATTGAGAGTAGATATACATGTGAATGACTAGGATTCATCTTAGCCTGGCTGTTTGTCTGGTCAGAAGCAGACTAGCTGCAGAGGTTAAATCACCATAGTAACTAGGCTGGGTTAGCTCTGTCCTGCTTTCGTGCAACAGACTTCAGAATAAATTCAGCCAGAATAAGCAACATCCCCGGGTTTATCCCTTATCTTGGTTTTGTGGTGATGTTGTTGCTTTTGGTCAGACTTGAACTTTTCCTAAACTTTAATCTCCTTCAACTGTCTCATCCTTGATGAACATCAACTAATAATCACGACTTCATCATTACAGCAAGTAATAGAGTGTCTTCATCCTCCATCCTAGGTCCTCCATCCTAGGTCCTCCATCCTAGGTCCTCCATCCTAGGTCCTCTTTGTCCAATATCTTCTTTGGAGTGAAGGGAGGTTCTGTTTGTGTTATGTCAGTGTTGGTGTGGGGGGGTCACATGACCTGAGGGCGGGGGACAGAGAGACAGGCTTCATTCATGGTCCTTTTACAATGGAATCATTCCACTTTTCTCTTTAGTGAACAGAAAATGCTGTGTTTGTTCTCAGTCTGATGATAAAAACTGCTCCAGTGTTGGACTGTGACTGAACAGTACCACTG